GCTCGGTTGTGAACACTCCATGGAAACTGGCATTCTGTGCCTCGCAGATTTCCTCGTCACTTTCCGTATATGCTCCTTCTGTTTCCCTTATTTTTGTCACTTGGTCGTTCACCGACATTTTCTTTCTTATATGGCTGTGTAGTAACTTAGGTTGCTTTTTTGCTTTGATCACCAAATCGTTCTCATAATTTGTTTCCGATACTCTTCTTATGTTAATGTAATCGTTCCTAGCTCTGTTGCATCTAATCCTGTTGTCCTCTGTCCTTTGTCTTCTGTACTTCTTCCAATCCCTCCTGCTTCTCCTTTTTCGCTTCCTGACACTGCCTATTAAACCATGGGCTATTATATTCCCCCTAATGTTTTTCTTTACTGTTGGTATAAATCTCTCTTCGGCCTCCTGGCATTTCCATTTGACCAGGTCTATCATATCCTGGACTGTTTTTCCTCTAATTTCTTCCTACCACTGCACTTCTTCCAGGTATTCCCTTATCCTCCCGTAATCCTCTTTTCCTGTAGTCAACTCTCCTTTTCCAGACCTCTTGTCCCGTGATCACAATCTTAGGTTCCATCATGTAGTCAAAGACTAGGACACAATGGTCACTGGCATCTAGATATATTTTATGTTCCAAATTTTCGATGTATTTCACGTTCTGGGGAAAAATCAGGTCTAATAGGCTCGGTGTATCCCCTCCTCTTTCCCTTGCGTCTTCATTCACATGCTGTGTTAGGAAATTCCTGTCTATAACGTCTACTAACTTTGTTCCCCACGTTTCCTCCCCGCCATGGGGATTCCTTGATTCCCAATTGATCTCTCCATGATTTAGGTCTCCCATGACCAGCAGTTTCGCTCTCATTCAGTGAGCTGTTGTGCGTGCGTGCGTGCGTGCGTGTGTGTGTGTGTGTGTGTGTGTGTGTGTGTGTGTGTGTGTGTACTCACCTAGTTGTACTCACCTAGTTGTGTTTGCGGGGGTTGAGCTCTGGCTCTTTGGTCCCGCCTCTCAACCGTCAATCAACAGGTGTACAGATTCCTGAGCCTATCGGGCTCTGTCATATCTACACTTGAAACTGTGTATGGAGTCAGCCTCCACCACATCACTTCCTAATGCATTCCATTTGTCAACCACTCTGACACTAAAAAAGTTCTTTCTAATATCTGTGTGTGTGTGTGTGTGTGTGTGTGTGTGTGTGTGTGTGTGTGTGTGTGTGTGCGTGCATGCGTGCGTGCATGCATGCGTGCGTGCGTACCCTCTAGGTCTGAAAAAGTTTTTCGTAGCTATAAAGCATCTGTGACTAGATTATAACCAAGTGCTTATACTGTTGAGTCCACGTGGTTATGTTGGTGTAATAACCGTCCTCTGTGTCCACCAGCTGGCGGCGGAGAAAAACTGGCGGCAACAATGTCAACAAACACCGAGATGAGCGTCGACTTTATTTGTTGATAAAGTCTCCCACACAAACACTTTATTCAAATTTGATAAAACACTTCCACGCGACACTTCATCAACATGTATACAAGCTACCCTCAACATTATTTTATTTTCCGTGTTACGAACTGGTAATAAGTGGTAGTAATTGTTTGTGTTAGGCTCGTGTTGTTTTTAGGAGCATTTGTTATCGTTTTCTGTGGGATTGTAGGTGCAGGTGTGTGAGTGAGGCTGAGGTGGTGTGTTCATGACCGTGCGAATGTTGCAGGTGTTTTATGGCACGTGTTTACGAAGTTGTTTTGCCTGTTCTGTCATGTGTATACTGTTGTGGGAATACTGTTGCATGTTCATTGTTTTTAATGTGGAAGCCTAGCAGCCTCGCTGGCTTAACACTTCTACATGTTTCCTGCCTCTTACTTTGTCCCCCTCTGCCTCGTACTTTGTCCCCCTCTGCCTCGTGCTTTGTCCCCCTCTGCCTCGTGCTTTGTCCCCCTCTGCCTCGTACTTTGTCCCCCTCTGCCTCATACTTTATCCCCCTCTGCCTCGTGCTTTGTCGCCTCTGCCTCGTGCTTTGTCCCCCTCTGCCTCGTGCTTTGTCGCCTCTGTATCGTACTTTGTCCCCCTCTGCCTCGTGCTTTGTCCCCCTCTGCCTCGTGCTTTGTCGCCTCTGCCTCGTACTTTGTCCCCCTCTGCCTCGTGCTTTGTCGCCTCTGCCTCGTACTTTGTCCCCCTCTGCCTCGTACTTTGTCCCCCTCTGCCTCGTGCTTTGTCCCCCTCTGCCTCTTACTTTGTCCCCCTCTGCCTCGTGCTTTGTCGCCTCTGCCTCGTACTTTGTCCCCCTCTGCCTCGTGCTTTGTCGCCTCTGCCTCGTACTTTGTCGCCTCTGCCTCGTACTTTGTCGCCTCTGTCTCGTACTTTGTCCCCCTCTGCCTCGTACTTTGTCCCCCTCTGCCTCGTGCTTTGTCGCCTCTGCCTCGTGCTTTGTCGCCTCTGCCTCTCACTCTGTCCCCGCCTCTCACCCTGTCCCCCCTGCCTCTCACTCTGTCCCCGCCTCTCAGTGTCCCCAGTTACGAGCAATACAAGTCAAGGAGGCCCTATGGTCTTGGGCCACGTACCAGGATGGTAGGCCTCCAGTGTGGAGGGTGCCTAGGGTCACCACCGAGGGCGTCTTCAAGGTTAGTGTCGTCTCTAATCTTGACCAGCCAGTTTCTGCCTGGGAAGAATATCTACAATACATCACTATTTCATGCTGCTTTAGTGGTATTTTCACTCGCAGGATGAGTGACGCTGCCCATTGTTGTTCCTATGGCGACATGTTCACTCACAGGATGAGTGACGCTGCCCATTGTTGTTCCTATGGCGACATGTTCACTCACAGGATGAGTGACGCTGCCCATTGTTGTTCCTATGGCGACATGTTCACTCACAGGATGAGTGACGCTGCCCAATACTCTTGCTGTACTGTAACAGTTGAGTCTGTCCCCGAAGCTATTTTTTAATCTCAGAGGACCTGGTCAAACATTAGGTGATTTATACACATATTCAGGGCCTTCATACTAGCGAGCGTCTATTCATGACAATGTGTATGAGTCAGTATCACAAATGGAAGTTTTTAGGAAGTTTAGAGAGAGAGAGAGAGAGAGAGAGAGAGAGAGAGAGAGAGAGAGAGAGAGAGAGAGAGAGAGAGAGAGAGAGAGAGAGAGAGAGAGAGAGAGAGAGAGAGAGAGAGAGAGAGAGAGAGAGAGAGAGAGAGAGAGAGAGAGAGAGAGAGAGAGAGAGAGAGAGAGAGAGAGAGAGGGAGGGAGGGAGAGGGGGGGGGGGTAGGTTTCCCATCTTATACAGGACTCTCCCACACAACACGTGACTGAGCCAACCTGAGGTAACAGTAGTCCAGATCTTGTGCTAACATCAGAGGAGAGCGTGAGCAGTCACCTCCAGATAGGAGAGAAGAGTACCCCTTCGTGTGACCATTATATCCTGAGATGATATACAATAACAGAATCCTACATAGAGGTCAAAAGCAAGGACTCCTTTGACTACCTTTGAGGAGACTATCAATGAAAGAGAGGAATAAGGAGGAATACCTCCTTGAGGCGGTTAATAAAAGATCAAGACATCGAAGCGTCATGAGATAATTTCACAATGATCACTAAATTTGTCAAAACACAAAATCCCAAAGAGGAAAGGAGAACGAAAAAGAATTCGATGGGTGACCATACACAAGAAATTACATCAGCCCCCCCTCCAAAACAGGGATGAAAACTGGCTCAAAACATCTAGAAAAACTTCAATTGAGTTCTTTTATCCTATCACAACACACAGGGCGGGTGTACATCACTACCACAACACACAGGGCGGGTGTACAACACTACCACAACACACAGGGCGGGTGTACATCACTACCACAACACACAGGGCGGGTGTACAACACTACCACAACACACAGGGCGGGTGTACAACACTATCACAACACACAGGGCGGGTGTACAACACTACCACAACACACAGGGCGGGTGTACAACACTATCACAACACACAGGGCGGGTGTACATCACTACCACAACACACAGGGCGGGTGTACAACACTACCACAACACACAGGGCGGGTGTACAACACTACCACAACACACAGGGCGGGTGTACAACACTACCACAACACACAGGGCGGGTGTACATCACTACCACAACACACAGGGCGGGTGTACAACACTACCACAACACACAGGGCGGGTGTACAACACTACCACAACACACAGGGCGGGTGTACAACACTACCACAACACACAGGGCGGGTGTACAACACTACCACAACACACAGGGCGGGTGTACAACACTACCACAACACACAGGGCGGGTGTACAACACTACCACAACACACAGGGCGGGTGTACATCACTACCACAACACACAGGGCGGGTGTACAACACTACCACAACACACAGGGCGGGTGTACAACACTACCACAACACACAGGGCGGGTGTACAACACTACCACAACACACAGGGCGGGTGTACAACACTACCACAACACACAGGGCGGGTGTACAACACTACCACAACACACAGGGCGGGTGTACAACACTACCACAACACACAGGGCGGGTGTACAACACTACCACAACACACAGGGCGGGTGTACATCACTACCACAACACACAGGGCGGGTGTACAACACTACCACAACACACAGGGCGGGTGTACAACACTACCACAACACACAGGGCGGGTGTACAACACTACCACAACACACAGGGCGGGTGTACATCACTACCACAACACACAGGGCGGGTGTACATCACTACCACAACACACAGGGCGGGTGTACAACACTACCACAACACACAGGGCGGGTGTACAACACTACCACAACACACAGGGCGGGTGTACATCACTACCACAACACACAGGGCGGGTGTACCCACCCAAGTCGTCTAGCTGTGATTGGGGCGGCTGAGCTTCAGCTCTTGGATCCCGTGAACGTGAACAAGAATCATAATAATATGCCAAAACAACCTTGTTAAAAGTAACCAATCACCAATCCAATCACCAGAGTTTCAGTATAACTTCCACGTGCATTTCTGCAGCATGGTGGCGGGCGTGAGTGAGACCTGGAGGGCCTGGCCGGCCATGGTGAAGCTGACCTTCCTGCACCTCGTCGTCTTGGCCTCAGGTGAGTACCCATTATTATTGTAAATCTATTAACATACTATTCAGCTCTTGTGGAATGCAATACTTGTGCAATGTGTCGTGGATGGAACTTGACTTGAGGGTTGAATTACACCTAACTTGTCACCAGAAGCTCACAACCTTCCCTGTGCACCATTCAAGTGGCTTAGGGAAGGTTGCCTGATATAAGGACTGACTTTTGAGAGCTGAGCCAAAGATACGTTCAGAGACTTACGGATGGTTAATGTGAGAATAACTGGAATATGGACCAGAGTGGAGCCCTTATCTCGGTACAGACAAGAGGGAGCTGGAGAAGGTTCAGCCACCGGACCAGCCCAACACCTCAGTGATACGAGTCACCAGCAAAGACTAAACAAGTTACACCTCACGTCCCTGAGGGAGAGAAGAAACAGAACATATATAATTACCACAGACAAAACATCAGGGGAATAAACACAGCAGACAAGGCCAGGCTAGTTAGCATGGTCAGCACGCAAACAAGCGCACACAGATGGAAACTAAGTACTCAAAAGCCACATAGGCATTAAAAGTAATTTTTCATTCAGAATAATGAACAAATTGAATGCGCTAAGAAGTGAAGTGGTGGAAGCGAAAGTCATACATAGCTGTAAATTAAAATTTGACAGAGCCCAATAGGCTCTGAAACCTATTTACCAGTCCATTAATGGTCGAGAGGCGGCGCCCAAGATCCGTGACTCACCCCCACAAATACCACTAGATGGGTACCCCTTCCATATGCCTGGCCAGCGGGCTCCTCCCGGGTTCCCGCCCTGGACTGGGGCGGTTGGGCGCCGATTCTAAACGGTACTCCCGTGTTCGCCCACAAGTAATTGGAGTCATCGCTGCAAACCAATTAGCGGGTCGTTTTACTTGGTGAACTGTGTCTTGGGAGTCTGCTCCTGTACCGTACAGAGGGTACACCACTGTACCCTCATGGAGGGAAAAAATTGTACTTCTCGACTTTACGCGGTAAAGACACATAATACTATTTTGCCGATCAATTTCTGGTGAGAGTGTATGAAACACTGGCTTGATTTGATTACTGGGAACACAAATCGTGTTTTACAGTGAGAATATGTATAATTTTCTGAGGTTAGGGAACACGGGAAACTACGTACCCGAATTAACCACAAAGATATTAAAAAAAAAATTCAGTGTCAGAGTAAAAATATATGGCATGAACAAATAAGTTAAGTGACGCTATGCGTTCATCGTCAAATGTAGGTAAGACAGAGGCCAAAATGATGGGCAACTTGTACACCAGTCGACTGACGTATGAGAGGCGGGATCTAAGAGATCTAAGCTCAGTCCCCGCAATCACAGCTACATGAATTATAGGTGGGTACACACCAACGACGCCACACCGATGGCGCTACACTACAGGGACGCCACACTGCAGGGACGCCACACTGCAAGGACGGTCAGGCACCTCGGCCACCTTAACACCAGACAGGCAAATCGGTGGGAAGTTACGCCTGCGGCTCACGCAAACATTAGAAAATAATAGATATTGCAGACCTCTTGAGCTGGCGCCATCCACAAGAACACACTCCCACATATCTGACAGCTTCCAGCATGCGGTGGATCACACTTGTACGGAGGAGGAGGAAGATGGGGCTTTCCTTGAAGTTGCCTTGGTCTAAAGTTGCCGCTGGAGAAGACAAGTGTCAACACAGCGGGGGCGTTAAAAACAAATGACGTACTAAGCCAAACATTGTTCTCTTTGTCCCAGTTGACTGGACCCGCCGCCTCTTTGGTTCCAGGGGGCGAAGGCTGCCGGTGTTGGCGTCCTTGGGGGAAACTGAAGTAAAAAACCAGGGATGAACCCCAGCGCTGGTGGCGGGCGTGGTCCCCAGCTCCACCACACATGTTCGCCTCTCTCTCCTGTCTCCCAACCCTTCCTCAACCTGTATTATATACCTTTCTTCACCCCATCTGCAACCTTATATTATATCATATTATATATATATATATATATATATATATATATATATATATATATATATATATATATATATATATATATATATATATATATATATATATATATATATATATATATATATATATATATATATATATATATTAGTCACTTTCAGAGAAGTCACTGAAAGCTTATCCAGCGAGTTCAACATCTGGTTTTTGGATGATGGCACTATAGCTGGCACCCTTGACATCCACTTGGAAGACATCAGAAAAATAAGGGAGCAAGAAGTAAGCCTGGGTCTCTTCCTGAACCCTTCCCAGTGTGAAGTATTCTCCTCCAACCCAGACATCATAGCTAGAGTAAGGTCTGCCTTGGCTGGAGCTCATGCCATTAGCGCTGTGAGCAGCACTCTCCTTGGAGGGCCCTCCCCCCCCCCCCCACCCTTGGGTCTAATGCCACTGAGGAGATCCCTGATAAGAAGATCACAGTCCCTCAGTAGGATGGAAGACAGGATAAGTGACATCGATGCCCACGATGCTTTTTATATCCTCACCAAATGCCTATTCCTTCCGAGGCTAACCTACTTTCTGAGGTGCACCCCATCCTACGACAGCCCAAATGAACAAATCCACAAGGGCCGTGACGAGGATTCGAACCTAAGTCCGAGATCATCCCAAACACTGCCTTAATCGACTGAGCTACGACATGGTCAAAAGAGTTGAAACCAGACTACCTAACTTCTTGAACTTAGGTACAACTACACCTGGTAGAAGTTGTACCAGGTGTAATGTAGTGTAGTGTAGTGTAGTGTAGTGACAGCCCAAAGCTTGAAGAGTATGACCTATTACTGAAGACCATGCTAGAAAAAGGTGTCAACCTTTCCCTCAATGAGTGCCAATGGAAACAAGCCACTCTTCCTGTCAGGCTCGGCAGCTTGGGTGTCCGCACCGCCACCCAAATTGCCGTCCCAGCCTTCCTGTCTTCCTCCTCAGTATCAGATGACCTGGTTAAGGAAATTCTACCTGACAACCTGTGTGACTCAGCAGGGATACAGGACTCCCACTACACGGAATGTGACTCAAAATGTGGTACCATGGCAGACCCAGCACTCAGACCAACCATGCCAAAAGCCAAGAAACAATCCAGCTGGGACAGTCCCATTGTAGACAAAGAAGCCACAGCTTTGCTGAGGCAGCAACAACCCTCCAGTGATCGTGCACGCCTCTCAGCTGTGCAAGCTCCCCATGCAGGGGACTTCCTTTTGGCAGTCCCTATGTCTGCAATAGGCACATGTCTTGATCTGCAGTCGCTCCGTATTGCAGTCGCTCTCCGCCTTGCTGCCCCTATCCACACTGTTCATAGGTGTATTTGCGGCGAGGCAGATGCAGACAAATATGGATTGCATGGCCTGCATTGTGGAAAATCAGGTTGTTGGCACACTAGACACGACGAAGTCAATGATATCTTTAAGAGGAGCCTTGCCTCTGCCCAGTGTCCAGCAGAGAGAGAGCCTCGCAATCTATTGAACCAAAACTTAGTTAGCTTTGCCGGCCGACCAGATGGAATCACACTGCACCCTTGGAAGGGTGACAGACAGTTGGTGTGGGACTATACTTGCGTATCCACCCTGGCAACCACATACATAAACTTATCTATTTCTCACACATATATATATATATATATATAATATATATATATATATATATATATATATATATATATATATATATATATATATATATATATATATGTGTGAGAAATAGATAAGTTTATGTATGTGGTTGCCAGGGTGGATACGCAAGTATAGTCCCACACCAACTGTCTGTCACCCTTCCAAGGGTGCAGTGTGATTCCATCTGGTATATATATATATATATATATACCAGATATATATATATATATATATATATGCGGAAAATCCACAGAGAAATATGAAATGAGGTGAACGTTTCGGCTTTGTTAAAGCCTTTGTCAACACCAGACTGACTCAGTCAGTCTGGTGTTGACAAAGGCTTTAACAAAGCCGAAACGTTCACCTCATTTCATATTTCTCTGTGGATTTTCCGCATAAAATGATCAGTGTTTTGTGATCGTCAATTGCATATATATATATATATATATATATATATATATATATATATATATATATATATATATATATATATATATATATATATATATATATATATATATATATATATATATATATATATATATATATATGTGTGTGTGTGTGTGTGTGTGTGACCGTACAAAAGACGATGATAGCCGAGGCTATTTGACCCACTGTCCCGACGGCACTTTGATGGGAATCTTGGGCACAGTTATTTCATCAAATCACCTCACTTTATGGGGCCACGTGTTCTTATGTTCTTAAAAGACTTTCTCAACTTCAACTGTCAAGCAAATTCAAGATGGGTTCTGCTCGAGGCTCTTTTTTTTCTCACAGTGAAATTTAATCTCATTCCCAGAATGTCCACTTCACCTTTATTCATTAAGTCTTTCCGTTGTCATCTTGACACTAAACCCGGCTAGTTGCAGTCTATCTAACCACAAGTGTTTCCTGTCTCGTAAAATTAAAGGTTATAGCGGACCCATTTACGCAAGTTCAGACTTTTGGGACAAAAAGTTTAATAGATCGTCTAAGTAAACATTGCACGAGGCACGCCGGCGCCAGTTGAGTGCCTTTTAGGAACGGTTCCACAAAAAACTGCCTGAGGAGACCGGTCCGAAGGTAATTGCCATTCTTTGCATAACTTTTTAGACTCCTTCAAGTTTACGTCCTGCCATCCTGTATTGGACGCTTCAAATGTTTTGTATAACTTTATGGAAACATAATCTATTTTAACTTCTCTGGATATCTTGTAGTAGGTTGTCATAGGGGGGTCGTATTTCTATCAATGTATTTTAGGGATCTTGCCTCCAGTTTTTGGTGTGGTGTGGAACAGAAGTTCCTGTAGAATAGTTAATGAGTGGGGCAGATACTGTAGTGTGGTCGTGTCATCTGAGATAGCGTGTATCTTGCATGAAACTACTAGCACTATTCTCCACCCCATCTATTGAACTTTACTACGTAAACTTCTCTTTCCACGACACACGAAATGGAAGAGAGTTCAGAAAGACATTATTGATAGAATCGCGACTCCTACTGACACTAACGAGACAATAGTTGACAATATACTACAAGAGCAAGAAGACTGTCAAGTTGCTCATGAAATACTCTCCAGACATCAAGCAAAACGCCTTGAAAGAGAGAGATGTTGCCTATGTCTTCACGAGGCCCACTTGGGACTGACAGCCCCAACGATTTCAGTATATGCAAGACTTCGACCTCTCTTTCAAAGGCACATAACAATGAACAAACAACAAGGCTTTACCAGAGAACATAATCATTTCTACACACAACCATGTTATCAGCAGGGATATCCCAACCAACACCACCGCAATAATCGAGATACAATGACAATAGGTAATAAGACATAGACTTAGCACTACATATCACCAAACAATCCCAACTAAACATTAAGAGCCAGGACCCGGATTCACGAAGCAATTACGCAAGCACTTACGAACGTGTACATCTTTCCTCAATCTTTGACGGCTTTGGTTACATTTATTTAACAGTTTACAAGCATGAAAACTTGCTAACCAACTGTTGTTATTGTTATAAACAGCCTCCTGGTGCTTCGGAGCTCATTAACTGTTTAAGAATTGTAAACAAAGCCGCCAAAAATTGAGAAAAGCTGTACAGGTTCGTAAGTACTTGCGTAACTGCTTCGTGAATCTGGCCCCAGGTCACAGCTGCCCTCCTCAAGACCAAGACAGATTATCCAGCATACACAATGCCCAACATCAGAACATAGCTGTATGGAGCTGCAACAGAACTATTGGTCAGTGTTCCTTCCTACACTTGGCCCATTGTGGTTACATACGCTTGCTTATATCACTTGGCCTCACGCCATAGGAAACTGTAAAATGAACTTGGGAGAGTTAATTCTTCAACTACCTTATTAAATCAAGAACATAAGGAATATAAAGAATATTTCATTCACATGGATGACTGGAGATTGTAATTGTGGCGTGAAGAAGTCCGAGGCCCGGGGAGGGGAGGGGGGAGGAAGGAATTATCAAGGGAAAGCGCCAAGCCATTACGACTATATAGCACTGGAAAGGGGTCAGGATAAGGATTTGGGATGGGATGGGGGAAAGGAATGGTGCCCCAACCACTTGGACGGTCGGGGATTGAACCCCGACCTGCATGAAGCGAGACCGTCGCTCTACAGGGGGGGGGGAGCCTTGTGTCTCGCCAGGACCATATTTTACTTAACAAAGGCCTCATAAGACACTACCAACAGTAATATGTTCTCCAAGATCGTTACATATTACACTCACTTATACTTAACACTCCACAAGAACTTAATATGCAGTTAAATACACAGGATTATAGCACAACGAGAAGAGAAAGATACATCCTAATCGTTGAGAACCGTAGCACAGTTCCCGATATTAACATCGCACTATTAAATCATTGCAAGTTTTCAATTGCGTTGAATTATAATGTTTTTGTTCATTAGGCAAGATGTTGCTAGTAGTTCACATGAATTGTTTAGGAAGGCCACACTGAGTACCACACCAGGGAGCAGGTCAACCCCCCCCCCCCCTGCGAACCACCTATGGATGATAAGGAAATTGAAATTGAAATAAGTTTATTGAGGTAAAATACACACAAAGGGATGAGGTAGCTCAAGCTATTCTCACCCCGTTCAGTACATCGTGTTAATACATACATATACACACATCACAAACAATAAACATATTACCGAACATTCTGAGAGATAAACATATACATTTCCTCCTTTACACAAGTAGTATGGTATCAGACGTACACATAAATACTTTTATGACCTAGTCATGATAAGGAAGCGTCTCAAAACTCAGTTGGGGAGCAGTTAGGTACCCCCGAGACTTTCAACATTCCCAGAAACACCACTAAGCTTCTTCTTCTTTCAGTGTAGGTCCACTTGATGACCTTGGTCACTTTGTCTATATGCACCTCAGTATCTTGCATGTTGTGATCATGTCGTGTCTGTTTCTTCTCTCCTCTAGGGTTAAGGGATTTATTTCTCTTAACCCCCTCAGTTCTGGCACTAATCTTGCAGCAAACCTCTCTACTTTTTCAGTTTTTTGTTTTGTGCTTCACAAGGTACGGATTGGAGGCTGGCGCTGCATATTCCAGCATTGGTCTAACATACTGTGGTGAGGATGGCTTTCATAGCAAGGAAGTGAACCAATCAACCAAAGATAGAATTTGCTTTTCTTATTGACTTTTAAAGCTGGGAATACAAGTATGATGAGTGGATGAGCCAGCTCGGGGTAGACAGTGCCTCGATAAATCTAAACTGACGCCAACCATCTTATTACTGAAGATAAAACATCTGAAATCCTTGCACTGTATCCATATTTCTCTTCCAGTAGATAAATGACATGTGAGATTAAGAACCAAGTAGTGTATTGTGAAGACTAACAATAACAAACTTCTCCACTATGACCCTGTCAATTCTCCATAGTTCAAACAATTATGTATTAGCGAAAAGACCGACCATTAACGTATAATGATTAACTGTAAATACATAGTTATTGAAGCAGAATATTCTCTGTTACTAGCTGACATTATAATTATAAGGTGTGAAGGATAGATGTAACTGTTAATGTAATAATTTAATCTACCTTGGTCATAAAAGTATTTATGTGTACGTCTGATACCATACTACTTGTGTAAAGGAGGAAATGTATATGTTTATCTCTCAGAATGTTTGGTAATATGTTTATTGTTTGTGATGTGTGTCTATGTATGTATTAACACGATGTACTGAACGGGGTGAGAATAGTTTGAGCTACCTCATCCCTTTGTGTGTATTTTACCTCAATAAACTTATTTCAATTTCAATTTCAATGTAATAATCTCGGCCGAGGTCTGATATACACCTTTCGTGCCCTCTGTAATCATTTATTGCGCTACCGCCCACAGGCTGAGTATGGGGTGCACAATAAACTAGTCGGGCACCATCCCTCACCGCTGTAGGCACCGCTGTCATCTTGACCTGTGTACCTGTGAACAGTGGGAGCCGGTCGGCCGAGCGGACAGCACGCTGGACTTGTGATCCTGTGGTCCTGGGTTCGATCCCAGGCGCCGGCGAGAAACAATGGGCAGAGTTTCTTTCACCCTATGCTCCTGTTACCTAGCAGTAAAATAGGTACCTGGGTGTTAGTCAGCTGTCACGGGCTGCTTCCTGGGGGTGGAGGCCTGGTCGAGGACCGGGCCGCGGGGACACTAAAAAAACAAAAAAGCCCCGAAATCATCTCAAGATAACCTGTGGCCATTTTGTCCAGGTTGATGATATTGTTGGCGAGGCTGTGAACATTGAGCAGGCCGCCGCTGTGTTCACTCACGAAGCCCATAACTTTTACTCAGCTAATCTAACAAATGTTACTGCACACATTCGCCGTCTGCGCAGCGCACGTAGATGTGGAGGCGGAATTATCTGGCTCTAGTATGACATAAATAACTCTTCTTAGAAAGTTACAACAGTGCATCTATAATGATTCGACTAAGGCACCCGACGTCATTTAATATCCTGTAAGTCATCATTGCCATAAACTCTGGGCGCTAGGCTTGAGTGAGTGCGTCCTGGGGCTGGGCGCTAGGCTTGAGTGAGTGCGTCCTGGGGCTGGGCGCTAGGCTTGAGTGAGGGCGTCCTGGGGCTGGGCGCTAGGCTTGAGTGAGTGCGTCCTGGGGCTGGGCGCTAGGCTTGAGTGAGGGCGTCCTTGGGCTGGGCGCTAGGCTTGAGTGAGGGCGTCCTGGGGCTGGACGCTAGGCTTGAGTGAGGGCGTCCTGGGGCTGGGCGCTAGGCTTGAGTGAGGGCGTCCTGGGGCTGGACGCTAGGCTTGAGTGAGTACGTCTTGGGGCTGGACGCTAAGCTTGAGTGAGGGCGTCCTGGGGCTGGACGCTAGGCTTGAGTGAGGGCGTCCTGGGGCTGGACGCTAGGCTTGAGTGAGGGCGTCCTGGGGCTGGACGCTAGGCTTGAGTGAGGGCGTCCTGGGGCTGGACGCTAGGCTTGAGTGAGGGCGTCCTGGGGCTGGGCGCTAGGCTTGAGTGAGGGCGTCCTGGGGCTGGACGCTAGGCTTGAGTGAGGGCGTCCTGGGGCTGAACGCTAGGCTTGAGTGAGTGCGTCCTGGGGCTGGGCGCTAGGCTTGAGTGAGGGCGTCCTGGGGCTGGACGCTAGGCTTGAGTGAGGGCGTCCTGGGGCTGGACGCTAGGCTTGAGTGAGGGCGTCCTGGGGCTGGGCGCTAGGCTTGAGTGAGTACGTCTTGGGGCTGGGCGCTAAGCTTGAGTGAGGGCGTCTTGGGGCTGGACGCTAAGCTTGAGTGAGGGCGTCCTGGGGCTGGGCGCTAGGCTTGAGTGAGGGCGTCCTGGGGCTGAACGCTAGGCTTGAGTGAGGGCGTCCTGGGGCTGAACGCTAGGCTTGAGTGAGTGCGTCCTGGGGCTGGGCGCTAGGCTTGAGTGAGGGCGTCCTGGGGCTGGGCGCTAAGCTTGAGTGAGGGCGTCTTGGGGCTGGACGCTAAGCTTGAGTGAGGGCGTCCTGGGGCTGGGCGCTAGGCTTGAGTGAGGGCGTCCTGGGGCTGGGCGCTAGGCTTGAGTGAGGGCGTCCTGGGGCTGGACGCTAGGCTTGAGTGAGGGCGTCCTGGGGCTGGGCGCTAGGCTTGAGTGAGGGCGTCCTGGGGCTGGACGCTAGGCTTGAGTGAGGGCGTCCTGGGGCTGGACGCTAGGCTTGAGTGAGGGCGTCCTGGGGCTGGGCGCTAGGCTTGAGTGAGGGCGTCCTGGGGCTGGGCGCTAGGCTTGAGTGAGGGCGTCCTGGGGCTGGGCGCTAGGCTTGAGTGAGGGCGTCCTGGGGCTGGACGCTAAGCTTGAGTGAGGGCGTCCTGGGGCTGGACGCTAGGCTTGAGTGAGTACGTATTGGGGCTGGAGTTGACGGGACTCCCGCGCGAGTATTCCTTCACTAAGACGGATTTACGGTGATAACTAAGATACGCGTGAGGACACAACAGCTGCCGTGACCTGCCGCTTAGTGTTACTTTTTTCCTACCTGTAGTTGCTGCCTCTTCTCTTCGTCTGACAGCGAGGTGATTATGTTACTTGGCTTCTTCGTCTGGCAACGAGGGGATTTACGTCACTTGGCTTCTTCGTCTGACAGCGAGGCGATTTACGTCACTTGGCTTCTTCGTCTGGCAGCGAGGCGATTATGTTACTTGGCTTCTTCGTCTGGCAGCGAGGTGATTTACGTCACTTGGCTTCTTCGTCTGGCAGCGAGGCGATTTACGTCACTTGGCGTCTTCGTCTGGCAGCGAGGCGATTATGTTACTTGGCTTCTTCGTCTGGCAGCGAGGCGATTATGTTACTTGGCTTCTTCGTCTGGCAGCGAGGCGATTATGTTACTTGGCTTCTTCGTCTGGCAGCGAGGTGATTTACGTCACTTGGCTTCTTCGTCTGACATTAAGGAGATTACGGCATTTGTCTTCGTGTGACCTTCGTCTGGCAGCAAGGCGATTACCTTACTTTACCAGAGTCTACCTGAGGGCTGTTATCTCTCTCTAGTGGCCTCGACGAGGACAGGAAGTGTCTGGCAGCGGGGTTATTGCCTCACTTGTCCACTTCTCTTTGTCTGTACGAGTGACGTAAGTGGTTACGTCACTCCTCGTCATGTCATTAACTGACAGCGAGATGATTACGTCATTCGTAAGGTGTTATCGTACAGTTGACATTCTTAAACTTTTAATTGATAAAGAAAAGGCGCGCATTCTCCTCATTAACATGAAATTAAGGATGAGTAGTTGATTGATTGATGAAGATTAACCCATCCAAAAGGTGGCACGGGCATGAATAGCCCGTAAGTGGTGGCCCTTTGGAGCCATTACCAGTATCAAGAGCTGATACTGGAGATCTGTGGAGGTGCGACTGCACCCTGCGTGACGGGAGATGTCTCCCGTGTGGATGAGTAGTTACATTAAGGTTCTATATATAGGAGTTCCGTGCGTGTGTTCGAGAGGTGTGGGTACATGGGTGGAGGTGCACACCGGAGTCCATAATAGTTTATTATCCCAGGGAGGTGACCACTGCCAAATATGGAGAAGGTTGCCCTACAGTGGCCACACCCCACCACCACCACTACCACTACCATTACCACCACCACTAACACCACCACCACCACTAGTACTACCATTACCAGCACCACCACTACCACTACCATTACCACCACCACTAACACCACCACCACCACTACCACTACCATTACCACCACCACCACCATCACTACCATTACCAGCACCACCACCACTAACACCACCACCACCACTACCATTAGCACCACAACCACCACCACTACCACTACCATTACCACCACCACCACCACCACTACCATTACCAGCACCACCACCACTAACACCACCACCACCACTACCATTACCAGCACCACCACCACTAACACCACCACCACCACTACCATTACCAGCACCACCACCACTAACACCACCACCACCACTACCATTAGCACCACAACCACCACCACTACCACTACCACTACCATTAGTACCACCACCACCACTACCACCACCGTCACTATCACTACCACAACTGTATTGTCTTACCCTGTCACCAGGCATCTGAGAGTGTTCCACATGAGAGAGTGGAGCACAAGGCCGTGAGGCAGATTGGGGCAACTGGGAGAACACTGACCTGGATAAGGGAGTACCTGCAGGTCATAAAACAAAGAGTCATAGTTAGAGAGAAGGCTTCGAGTTGGAGGAATGTAACAAGTAGGGTCCTAGAACTCCTGCTGTTCCTAATTCATGTGAATGACCTACCCGAAGGAGTCAACTTCTTCATGTCAATGTTTGCAGATGATGCAAAATTGACAACGAATTTAAAAACAGAGGAGGACTGCAGGACGTTAGAGGAGGACCTAGACAATCTCTATTAGTGGGTAAACAGATGATTGCTGGAATTCAATACCAATAAGTGTAAGGTAACGAAAATGGGCAAGTGAGAAAGAAAACCAAGAGGTAACTACACCATAAGGGGAAGGTAACTACAAGAATCAGAAAGAAAGATTTGGGAATGGATATAGTTCCCACACCAACACCGGAGGCCCACATAAACAGGCTAGCATTGACAGCATCTGGGACGCTAAACATTATTTAGAACCTCAAGACTTTTTCAAGGTAGTCTACACGACGTTTGTTAGAGCAATACTGACATATGCAGCACCGGCCAGGCTTCCACACCTTGGGAGCACATGCTTTTCTGTGACTCATCAGTTCTGTCAGGCATTCGGAGACCAATATGGAATGGGATCCATAGGAGACAGACTCTGACCTCATCGCTGATTATCTTATTATAGCTGACCCTTGCTTCAGCTGTCATGATGAGTTGAGTGCAGTCAAGGGCGACAGTCACTGACAATATGTGTTAACTTTTGATACGTATACTCGTTTGAGAGCTATAGGATTATAGCAAAAACACATTTGTCTGGTGAGAGAAGGCCTAGTTAAGTACACAAGCGCCGGACTCGGGACAAGAGTCGTCTCTCAGTGTCACAAGAACACTTCCAGCGGCACCAGGGGAGTAGTGTAGAACACCCTCAGTGTTACTGGTCTGGGAGAGGGAGCGCGCTGGGAGAGGGAGCGCACTATGACCAGAGCACCAGTTTGCCTTAAGGCAAAGCACTTGGCTTGAAGTCGAAGCGTGGGTTGCATTTTAATATTTTTCTGAGGTGAGAAGGTATTTTGGAAAAGGGTGATCTCCCATGGTGCAGGATCATGAACCTGATACATTCTAAGTTCAGTTGCAGTTTTTGTAATCCATTTTGAGGGATGTTGACTTTTGATAAACGAGGCTAAGAGAGCGTCAGTGGGGTGGGTTAGGCCGAGCTTATTGATGACAGTTAAACCATTGACTTAAGTGATTCCATCACTTACACATGAGATATTGAGTTCCTTCCACATGTTTCGTAATTAAGTTACACCGGGGCATCCGAGGATGATCCTGGTGAAGATTATAATATAAAACTTACAGAACATATAATAACTACTAATCTCTTTATGAAGCACAAGCTAGGACGATTTTATAAATGGTAAATTCTACCTTACAAACACTATTAAAATGTGTTTGTAAGGTAGACTTAAACATGGTACTCCACAGGTCTCTGATATAATAAACGAAGATCCAGACCAAGGCGGTAACGGTGCTGTGTGTGTTAAGGAATACTTGTAAGAAGGTAGAGAGTCGTGAAGAAACATTAAACATCAAAGAGGGCAAAGGTAACAAGTGGGGACCCCCCCCCCAAGGCTCAGTCTTGAGACCTATCAATCTCTGCTATTAGGAGAGATTGTTCTTCATATAAATGTTTGTGGGTGATGTGATTATAAGACAAATAAGGATGATAGACAGTTGTAAGAAATAGAAAGAAGATTTGAAAAAAGGCTTCAAGCGTGGTGCTCCAGATGACTATTAGAGTTGAACTCTAGGAATTACAAATAAAAAGAGTGAGCAACTCAAGTTGCTAACCCCCATGTTTAGCATATATATATATATATATATATATATATATATATATATATATATATATATGGATATGACATTAGCAACAAGATTTCAGTAACACAACATTGTTCCATATTTTCACACACACACACACACATCTGAAGAAGCATATAATGAAACTGGAAAAGGTTCAGAGGTTTGCAACGAGACTCGTCCCAGAGCTACGAGGGATGGGGTATGAGGAGCGCCTGAGGGAACTGTGCCTTACGACACTAGAAAGAAGAAGGGAGAGGGGGGACATGATAGGAACGTATAAGATACTCAGAGGGATTGACAGAGTGGACATAGACGAAATGTTCACACGGAATAGTAACAGAACGAGGGGACATGGATGGAAGCTTGAAACTCAGATGAGTCACAGAGATGTTAGGAAGTTTTCTTTTAGCGTGAGAGTAGTGGGAAAATGGAATGCACTTCAGGAACAGGTTGTAGAAGCAAATACTATTCATAATTTTAAAACCAGGTATGATAGGGAAATGGGACAGGAGTCATTGCTGTAAACAACCGATGCTCGAAAGGCGGGATCCAAGAGTCAATGCTCGATCCTGCAGACACAACTAGGTGAGTACACACACACACACACACACACACACACACACACACACACACACACACACACACACACACACACACACACACACACACACACACACACACACACGTAAACAGTTGATTGACAGTTGAGAGGCGGGCCGAAAGAGCAAAGCTCAACCCCCGTAAAAACACAACTAGTAAACACAACTAGTAAACACAGTAAACACACACACACACACACACAGAAAGATAAAAAAGAAGGAAAGAGAGGAGAGAAAGAGAAATGAAGGGAGAGAGGAGATATGATAGCAACATATATAATACTTACGGGAATTGACAAAGTGGAAATAGATGAAATGTTCACACGTAATAATAACAGAACGAGGGGACATGGGTGGAAACTCAGATGAGTCACAGAGATGTTAGGAAGTTTTCTTTTAGCGTGAGAGTAGTGGGAAAATGGAATGCACTTGGGGAACAGGTTGTGGAAGCAAACTCTATTCATACTTTTAAAATTAGGTATGATAGGGAAATGGCACAGGAGTCATTGCTGTAAACAACCGATGGCTGGAAAGGCGGGATCCAAGAGTCAATGCTCGATCCTGCAAGCACAAATAGGTGCGTACAAATAGGTGAGTACACACACACACACACATCCTGCCTCCTTGTATGGTATCTTGGAGTTATAACTCAAGTGTTTCTTCTCAGGTCCGTCCGGAATGTGACCGGGCGGCTGTTTAAGGCTATCTCCCCCTCAGAGCGGTGTGTCCACTGCCGGGGCGCGCGCCTTACTCCCTCTTATAATAAATCTTTTGGCTTCCGCTCGAACTTACATGATTATAATTATGACCCGAAGGCCGATTTTACTGGGTACCGTCACTGATCCTGTGAGTAAACATACCACCATTATAGACAACAGTGGTACTCATCCTGAGTAACCATAAGAATAGAAGGATAACATTGTACAGTGGTACTCATGCTATGAGTGAACACACCACCATAGGGACAACATTGTACAGTGGTACTCATGCTATGAGTGAACACACCACCATAGGGACAACATTGTACAGTGGTACTCATGCTATGAGTGATCACACCACCATAGGGACAACATTGTACAGTGGTACTCATGCTATGAGTGATCACACCACCATAGGGACATGTACAACACCCTCACCCCCCCCCCTACTTACCCTCCAGTAAGAAGAAAACCTGGTTGATACCTGGTTGATGGGGTTCTGGGAGTTCTTCTACCACCCAAGCTCGGCCCGAAGCCAAGCTTGACTTGTGAGAGTCTGGTCCACCAGGCTGTTGCTTGGAGCGGCCCGCAGACTTCAAAACAACTTCATTTCGAGAAGCAAATAGATAGCTTCTTCTGCCTCACTTAGAGTCCTATTTCCCCTCACAGTCTGTAAGACGCCCTAAACGTCTTACAGAGAGAGAGAGAGAGAGAGAGAGAGAGAGAGAGAGAGAGAGAGAGAGAGAGAGAGAGAGAGAGAGAGAGAGAGAGAGAGAGAGAGAGAGAGAGAGACAGACAGACAGACAGACAGACAGACAGACAGACAGACAGACAGACAGACAGCCAGACAGCCAGACAGCCAGACAGCCAGCCAGACAGACAGACAGCCAGACAGACAGACAGACAGACAGACAGACAGACAGACAGACAGACAGACAGACAGACAGACAGACAGACAGACAGACAGACAGAGACAGAGACAGAGAGAGACAGAGAGAGATCTAAATAAATATTACTCTCAGTGATTCAAATAATAATCTCATGAAATAAATGAGTCTCTGGAGGCAGGCTTCAGATGAGCTAAGGTAGGCTGACAGCTCTTGCATGTAGCTTCACTGGCTGCCTCAACTGACAGCCCTAGTCCTAGTTACAAAAAAAAAAGAGGGAGAGACATAAAAGAAAAAAGATGAAAGCAGAACTATAAAAACAAGGGAGGAATTTATCTAAGAAAACGTAATAACAACAGCGAGCGGCGCACTTAGTAAACATTATGTTATAAATGTTAATAATTCATAAACATCCATATTAATTCTGGTTAATTGAATTTTATTGTGTTGCCTTCTAGAGTTCTTCACACTAGTAACGCCTTAAGTAATGCTTTCGTTGCCTTATATTGTATATTAATGCGCTGTCTTAAGAGTATATTCTTTGTTTACTCTGCAGTGGAGCTGACTGCTGGGATGCTGGGTCCTCACAACCACCCGGCCACCACCACCAGGTATGATCACTCGACCACCACCACCAGGTATGATCACTCGACCACCACCACCACCAGGTATGATCACACGACCACCACCACCACCAGGTATGATCACACGACCACCACCACCACCAGGTATGATCACACAACCACCACCACCACCAGGTATGATCACACAACCACAGCACCAAGTAAGATCACACAACCACAGCACCAGGTAAGGTGCCTGAACCCCACCACTGGTTAAGCTAATCCTCTGGTCTCCATATCTCCCAAGTACTCAGATATCATTGCTATCATTGTGACTCAGGGTCCTGCCTCTCTCTACCTGCCTGGGAACACTGTTGGATCCTGCCAGTATCTGGAGGGGAAACTGACTTGGAGAAACACCGTCAAACAGCTTTGTTATAATGTTAAACTTGGACACAATATAAACATTGTGACTAATATTGTGCAGGATGTTATGGTGTTTGTCCAGAGTGCTCTTATCGCTCAGTGTTCCCAACAAGGGAAATGAATGAGTTTGTAAACAAAGAAGATATTCCCGGGGCGATAAGGGTCCCCTCGCGTGGCTGTGTCACGTGAAGTTGATGGTGGATGCGACACTGGACATTCAGCAGCTCAATGTTAAATGGGCTGTTGAAGTGAATGTGATAATCCAAGTATTTGGGGACCGAGTCTTTCAAGCGCATTCAAGAAAAGGGCAAATATTTAATGTATAAAAACTGTATTCATCATTGCTTGCTATAACTGGTTTAGATAAAAGGCTGTTTGGGATCTGTTCTTCGACCAATTTTGTGCATCTCGAACGCACAAAACTGACTTGGAGAATCAGTTGCGTCTGACGGAGAGTCGTCTTGTAGAGTCAGTTGCGTTGCGTTGCGTCAATTGCGTCTCGAACGCACAAAATAAAGGCATACAATCACATCAGGACGGTGGATGTTATATTGGTAATTCGGTGGATGTTACCGAAATACTTGCTCCACATTCTTGTAGCTTCGGGCCTCACATTGGCAGATTCGGGAGCGTCGGGTTCACAACATACACGTCAACTATTGGCTTTTTAAAACGTACCTTCCAAACGCCACGTTAGTTCAGTGAACCTCGGGTGGTGTTACTTTTAAGCTCATCGTGGTCACGTGGGTAGTGCCTGTGTCTGATGAGGTCACCAACAACAGTTCAGTAACACAACAGTGTTCCATATTTTTACACCACACACACACACACACACACACACACACACACACACACACACACACACACACACACACACACACACACACACACACACACACACACACTGCATGTGTGATCCTGCAGACACTGCAGACACAACTAGGTGAGTACACACACACACACACACATCCAAAGTATACAAACCATTACTAATATTTATGTTTTATGCTTTGTAATTTGTATTAAAGCAGATTCGATAATATTTGTATTAAAAATTATTTGACAATTAGTGGTTGAAGAAGACCCTTCCCAATCAACTCGGTGAAAATTTTCTGACAAATGAATAAATAGAGCATTATGTATTTGGTCACTTCTTACAGAATATTTATGCAGCGAAATTCGAAATTTCAAATTTTTGCATGTTTAACCTATACTGAATGTATTAAAATCATTACTGTATCGAGCATATATTTACCTTTGGCTACAATACTAATTAGGTTTTGGTTACAGGAGGCCGCTGGAGAGGAGTGAGATGAAGACCCGCTACAGTGTGCAGAGTCCGGTGGGCAAGACGCCGCTCTCCGTCACCCACCAGCCTCCTCCACCACTGCGGCGCCTCCACAACTTCTCCCCCACTGTTGCTAAGCATCATAAACGGAAGAAAACGTTCCACAAACAGTCGCCCTCCAAGCACGCGCCTCGAGCGGCTAGACGGCATGCCAGACACAATTCGGTGTTCAGGGATTCGAGGCATGACCGTCGGGGCTTTAGTGCCCCCTTCTCTGACCTCTTCCTACATCACTACCGCAGGCCCCATTACTGGCACCTGAAGCAGCTGCAGGATCATCATAAGAATATAATGGGTCAGTTACACGCGCACATGGGTCACCACCTAACGACAATGAGGGAACAGATGGCTCCTACACATCGTCAACACCATTCCCCACATCATTTTAACGATCCCTCAAATCAGCATCACCATCAACGCCGCCTCATCCATAGATTCCCTTCACATTTTGGTGACCGTGAACATCACCAGACACACGTTAGACCTCTCAGCCGGCGGCCATCACCTCGCAGGGAGTCGAGAGAACACGAAAGAGTCAGAAAGCAATTCAAAATGTTTAGAAGTCCTACGAATGATATACCCGAAGATGTCGAGCTGTTACAAGGTCCAGGGCCTCCCAAAGCTCCCCACAACACAACCACAACTACCAGTAATGGAAGCACCAAGCCAAAAAATGGAGACAGGGAGAACTGCGCCACCGAAGGCAGTCGAGGCAGAGGAGTTCCTCAACTGCCTTTCCACCACGATATCTTCAAGTCCACAGCCTCTTCGCCCGGTGGATCTAACCTGAAGCCCATCTTTACCCAACCAGCACACACACACAGATTCACACCAATATTTTCTGAGGTCTCTACACCACCATCGATTGTTCCCCCCCACGGCGACACGGTGTCATCTAGAGGTCCACCTCACCATTTGCACCCCGTTAACCAATTCTTTCACCACAATAAGCAACAGAACCCCATTCCTACGCTTTTTGGAACTTCAGGACCTGGTTGGCCTTTCTCAGTAAACAGAGGCTCGAACCCTACAGCCAGAGGCCGCGACTCCTTCAAATTCAGCGTTGAAGATCACCTGAATTCACTGCCGCCCGCTAATAGTGAGTGCCTGATAAACTTATGTACATTAGTAGGTCACAAACACACCGTTATGTTAGTAGTCACCAGGTGTATACGAGAGAATTTAATATACCAAAGAGTAGATCAAATATTGAGCCACTTTCCTATCATCTTACTTCAATTTATTTTAAATGATAAAACGATAATTACTAGAAACGTGACAACAGATATATATATATATATATATATATATATATATATATATATATATATATATATATATATATATATATATATATATATATATGTGTGTGTGTGTGTGTGTATATCACGAAAATAAACACGTGATTAAGAATGTGACAATGTCAGACCACGGAGGAAAATGAAACAGGAAATTTCCTTAAGCACTTTCGTATATTAAATACATCTTCAGAAGGAATGAATATATATATATATATATATATATATATAAAGATGGTTTAGCGCCGCCAAGTAATTTGAACTTGATTGACATTATTTGAACGTCATATTGAAATTCCTAACGTACAGCTTCATGAATGTGAAAAATAACATTGTTTACATTATAGGCCTCTCGAAAACCCCTTAAGAACGTTAATATTGTCTAACAAAGTAATTACTCAAATTATTATTTTAATCCCAAGTTAAATGTTTAAATATGACAAATGAAACATAAAGACGCATTTAGAAATGAAAGACACGTAAGTTGGTTCCGAGCTGGCAAGACTGTGTACATAATATCATTAAGATATTATACATCTACACACACGGTATCCAGATATTGCAACTCCAAGGACTTCTATGTTACACCTATTAATTTACGTCTACTAACAACTATACTCCAACAACTGCAAATAATAATACCAGTATAAGTAGTGCCAGTACGACTTATACTGGCATTATTAGTGCCAGCACGACTTATACTGGCATTATTAGTGCCAGCACGACTTATACTGGCATTATTAGTGCCAGCACGACTTATACTGGTATTATTAGTGCCAGCACGACTTATACTGGCATTATTAGTGCCAGTACGACTTATACTGGTATTATTAGTGCCAGTACGACTTATACTGGTATTATTAGTGCCAGCACGACTTATACTGGCATTATTAGTGCCAGGACCACTTATACTGGTATTATTAGTGCCAGCACGACTTATACTGGCATTATTAGTGCCAGCACGACTTATACTGGCATTATTAGTGCCAGGACCACTTATACTGGTATTATTAGTGCCAGCACGACTTATACTGGTATTATTAGTGCCAGTACGACTTATACTGGTATTATTAGTGCCAGCACAACCACTTTATGGAGCGAGTTCCACACTACACAGGAGGCGGCGGACCGCAGCACGACGGTGGTGACACTGCCTGCATCAAGTGTCCTCCAGACGCCCATGTGGAGGCCCCGAGGGGTAAGGACTGTGTTCACGCCCACGTCCCCAGCCCATTCTCCTGTACACCCAGGTGAGTCCAGTTACTGTGCTCATAACTCTCTAGTACTCTGACCCTGGTGGCCGGTACACCCAAATACCCGGACCCTGAGGGCCGGTACATCCAAATACCCGGACCCTGAGGGCCGGTACACCCAAATACCCGGACCCTGGTGGCCGGTACACCCAAATACCCGGACCCTGGTGGCCGGTACACCCAAATACCCGGACCCTGAGGGCCGGTACACCCAAATACCCGGACCCTGGTGGCGGGCCGGTACACCCAAATACCCGGACCCTGAGGGCCGGTACACCCAAATACCCGGACCCTGAGGGCCGGTACACCCAAATACCCGGACCCTGGGGGCCGGTACACCCAAATACCCGGACCCTGAGGGCCGGTACACTCAAATACCCGGACCCTGAGGGCCGGTACACCCAAATACCCGGACCCTGGGGGCCGGTACACCCAAATACCCGGACCCTGGTGGCCGGTACACCCAAATACCCGGACGCTGAGGGCCGGTACATCCAAATACCCGGACCCTGGTGGCGGGCCGGTACACCCAAATACCCGGACCCTGAGGGCCGGTACACCCAAATACCCGGACCCTGAGGGCCGGTACACCCAAATACCCGGACCTTGGTGTCTTGTACAATCTGGACCCTGGTGTTCTATGTACCCATACACCCAGACCCCTGTGTCCTGTGCACCCACAACTCCAACCCTTTGACCTGCTCTGAAATATTAACTTCTTCAGCATTCTTTTTGGTAATCCTTATTAAAAAAAAGTTGGTGAATGATTTGATCTTAAATTTCATGATAACGTAATCATTTAAGGTGGCTAATGGAGCCACCTTCCTTCTTCTTGAGATGATTTCAGGGCTTAGCGTCCCCGCGGCCCGGTCCTCGACCAGGCCTCTATGCCTTATATACCTTAAATGGAATCGTAATATTATTGTCTACAGAGAAAATCTACCGAATACCTTGTATGGGTTTGGTGTAAGGATAAGGCCTATCAACCTATGTAGGGTTATTAAGGTCACAGAAGAGGTTGGAAAAGATCATCAGGGGGCAAATGGGGGGACCTTTGACAAGCCGCCGGCTTCCTGTCCTCATCGAGGCCACTAGTGTTGGTGGCCCTAAGGTAAATTTAGGTAAATTCAGGTATACTTTAGTCCTGGACACCCGGCATCTCAGAGCATGAGGAGCCAGATGGAACCCGTTTTCTAATAGAGAACCTGCAGGCAGCCAGCGACCAACCCCAGCACGGGGGTTGATCAGTAATTATATTATCTATATATATACAGTATATATATATATATATATATATATATATATATATATATATATATATATATATATATATATATATATATATATATATATATATATATATATATATTATTTGATCATGTAGAAAACAAACTGGTGTCAAGCCACAGTTGGCTTTGTGTAGACAGGAAGCAGTCATCGGGAGGACAAACCCTTCATGCAATTTTAAATTGTTAAATTTTGCCCCCGAGGGGCGAGTTTATGGGGCAGCGTCACTCACAGCACCTACTATCAAGCAGCAGAAGTAGACAGGAGTATGTTGTAGCGTTGTCAGGTGACGGTGTCTCACCTGACCTTTGGTGACCTTAATGACACACACACACGGCGCCTTGTGACACCAGACACACGACGCCTTGTGACACCAGACACACGACGCCTTGTGACACAAGACACACGACGCAGGCTCCAGTGCATGATAAGTGTCGCTGATGTCATCCGTAGTGATGCTGAAGAGAAACCAGATCACCTCCAGTGGCCCTCCAGGAGGCGCTCAAGAGCTCTGCTCCCATTATGTTAGAGCTATATGGCCTTCACCTCTGGTAATGATGTTGACATTAATAAATTGATTATATATTTTAATTCCCACTTTCTTCTCCTTCCTCCTTCCTGCCTCGTCCTTCTACCTCCTCCTTCTGTTCCCTCAGCCTGCCTCCTCATTATTTCCAATAATCATCAGTAATCCTCACCAAGAGTTATCTTTATTAATAATTATTATCAGAAATAATCATCATTAACAATTGCCAATAATAATAAACAAATTACATTTAATAAAAAATATCCATTACTGGATACATTTTATATATATATATATATATATATATATATATATATATATATATATATATATATATATATATATATATATATATATATATATATATATATATATATATATGTGTGTGTGTGTGTGTGTGTGTGTATATCACGAAAATAAACACGTGATTAAGAATGTGACAATGTCAGACCACGGAGGAAAATGAAACAGGAAATTTCCTTAAGTACTTTCGTATATTAAATACATCTTCAGAAGGAAGATGTATGTATATATATATATATATATATATATATATATATATATATATATATATATATATATATATATATATATATATATATATATATATATATATATATATGTTTCCTTCTGAAGATGTATTTAATATACGAAAGTACTTAAGGAAATTTCCTGTTTCATTTTCCTCCGTGGTCTGACATTGTCATATATATATATATATATATATATATATATATATATATATATATATATATATATATATATATATATATATATATATATATTAGTGCATAATATGTGTGAGGTGACGTGTTGCAGGAGACAACATATGTGGGAGGGAGACTGCAGGTCTACCGATACACATCCAACATAGCAAAATGCTCCAGATGCACCACTAAGGAGCCATGTAACTGTTGTGACTGGCGAACAAGCGGACGAAGGGCTGTGCAGTAATGTATATATATATATATATATATATATATATATATATATATATATATATATATATATATATATATATATATATATATCCTAGATAGTGGCAGCGAAGCACTTCACATATGGTGTGCACTTGTAGCCAGGAAGTGTGTGTAGTGTGAGCTCTCTCTGGCCCATCCCGCACTCTTAAAATCTATTATATTATTATAATTAAGGTTAATTAAGCCTTAATAATAACTAATATAATTAAGGCAGTGTTTCTTTTTTTTATCAATAAAGTATTGTATATTGTGTTGTTGCTACATTAGTTAAATTATGATAACTGTAACTAACCTGATCTCACTGGTCAGGAGCACTGTAACCTGGTCTTTAATGAACCGGAAGCACTGTAACCTGGTCTTTAATGAACCGGGAGCACTGTAACCTGGTCTTTAGTTGACCGGGAGCACTGTAACCTGGTCTTTAATGAACCGGGAGCACTGTAACCTGGTCTTTAGTTGACCGGGAGCACTGTAACCTGGTCTTTAGTGAACCGGGAGCACTGTAACCTGGTCTTTAGTGAACCGGGAGCACTGTAACCTGGTCTTTAGTGAACCGGGAACACTGTAACCTGGTCTCACTGAAGCAGGTTACAGTGCTGTAGCTTGTACTGGCCAGACTGTGATGTGTGGTGAAGGTCAGGGTGGTGTTTCAGGTGGTGGCCGAGGATGAGGACGGTGGTGACGGAAGGGCCGAGACCCGGCACCCTCCTGCAGGAGGGCCGCTACGCTATGGTCATCACGGTGGTGGCCGGCGACGACGACGCCCGCTCCACCCCCATCACCTCGTGCAGGATCAACTACAATGTCCAAGGTTAATGAATTGGTTACACTATTGGGTTGATTGAGTGGTGATATGGAGGGGGGTGATGGTGATGTAGGGGGGGGTGATGGTGGTGTAGGATGGGGGGGGATGATGGTGTAGGATGGGGGGTTGATGGTGATGTAGGGGGGGTGGGTGATGGTGATGTAGGGGGGGTGGGTGTTGGTGATGTTGGATGGGGGGTTGATGGTGATGTAGGAGAGGGGTGGGTGATGTAAGGGCTGATATCAAGCACTGTTCCGTTGAAGAGTAAAAGTTCAGTAACAGTTATCATCGTTATCTTGGTATCTCTTGTTTGATAAGTTTTCCTTCACTAACTTCTTTCTCGTTCAGTAATTTTGAGAGTTGTTGTTTGTTGTTTTAGATTCAGCCGCTCGGAACAAAGGTTCCTAGCAGCACGGTGTATGGTGAGCCCGTAGTACACTTATTCTTAACTACTTAACTACATTTTGAATTGTTCCAAAATAACTTTGCTTGTTGCTTAACCGAGAATCCTATATTGTTCGTAATTGACCATTATATTGATTTTAGTGGCCGAGATAAAGGCTCAGTTTATCAGTTTATTATGTCTGTGATGGCTCATGTCCTCGTGGATGCTGCATTTTAAAAGACTGTATTGTCTTCTACAGATGATGATACGGAACAAAAATATCTTTGCAGGCGAGGAGTCACAATAACGTGGCTGAAGTATGTTGACCAGACCACACACTAGAAAGCGAAGGGACGACGACGTTTCGGTCCGTCCTGGACCATTCTCAAGTCGATAAGAATTCCATCGACTTGAGAATGGTCCAGGACGGACCGAAACGTCGTCGTCCCTTCACTTTCTAGTGTGTGGTCTGGTCAAAAATATCTTTGTTTACTTCAGCTGGGAGGAAGCCCAAATGGGCGAAGGATCAGAACAGTTCCTCAAAAACTGGCTTTGTTCAAGTAATTGTAGTTCCTGGAATATGGAAGCATTGTATAGTGACAGGTCAGCCTTTCCCTGGTGTGTATTCTCACCTCTTCGTGTGTGGGGAATGAGACTCTCAGTTTAGTGTATAAAGAACATCGTGTGATTGATCATATTTGCTCTTGTCTCTGTAAATTGATTATTGCTTCCAATACATCTTCCCGTAGTTCATTCTACCTGCTCACTATTCCTAAAGAGAAGAAATGCTTCCATGTGGTTCATTTCTGTTTCCAATTTGTACCTGTGACCTCTTGTCCTATTCCCACCCATATGAAACAGAGTGTTATTGTTGGCTCTCTATACCACTGGGTATTTTGAACGTTGTGATCAAGTCTCATCTGATTTTTTTATTTTTATTTTGGTATAGTGATTCAAAGTTCAGTTTCTTTAATATATATGCTTGTCTGAGACCTTTTAGTCCTAATACTTTTTGTATTGCCATTCTTTGGACTTTAATTTTTGTTATCGAGGAGAGAGTTCGGCGATGGTGTTGTGTGTAATTACCTATTGTGATGAGGTGTGTGTGTTGGAGGAGCTCCAGCTTGTGGTGTTCCGTCCTCCTGCCCACTACTCACATTTTGACGCTCTTATTTATTTATTTATTTATTTATGCATATACAAGAAGGTACATTGGGAATGTGAGGATACATAATATGGTAATTACAGTCTTGTAAAGCCACTAGTACGCACAGCGTTTCGGGCAGGTTTATTTTACTCTTTATTCTTTATATTCTGTAGAATATTTCCCCTGTGATCACACACTGTAGTAGTCATCTTACTCTATAATGATGACGACACTCCATGTACTCTCTGTAGTATAGTAATTACACCCACTGTACTCATATACATGTACAATGATATACAAATGGTGAGCGGCGCAGGACCCCATGCCGGGCCGGGTAGGTGAGGGGCAGGGACACAGGAAGCGGTGGGTGATTACCTCGGGTTCTTGGGATGTATTGAGCCACAGGAAGGTGTCGACGGGCTCACCATAGCCCGTGCTACTTGGAACTTTGTTCCAGGTAGCGAATCTTTAACAACAACAACAGGAAGGTGTCAGGCTTTGGTTGAGGCCTGGCTGAAGCGTATGTTGATGTGGTGGTGGTTGTTTTACCTAATATTTATGTGGCTGGCTCTGTGATTACCGGGTTGTCTGGCGCTGATATTGTTTAAACTTAAGTGTGTGGATGTGTGGAGCAGACACTGTTAACGCCTTCGTTACTCCACAGTCCGTAAGTGTCCAGAGTTGGGTAGAGGAGCCGGGCTGGCGGTGCGGTGTACGGCCGGGCGGGCCTGGGGCTCCCGCTGCTCTTGGAGGTGCCCACCACGCCTCACCCTCCACGGCGCCTCCGTCACCACCTGTGTCGGCCACCACCAACCTTACTGGTCACATTCCCCTCCCACCTGTACAGGTAATTTTCATTTTATCTCATATGTTAAAGTTTCTCCTAAAACTATTGCAGTATATATTGCGGACCTTACTAATTGGTGATGACCAAACCACACATCACAAGATGGAGAATCGACAACGTTTCTGGACCATTGTCAAGTCGTCCTCTCACACGACTTGATAATTTTTTTTATAGGGATATTCCTGCGCGGGCCCTAAGCCTCTGGCTGGCCCACTAAGTGTTGCTTGCTTCTGTTTTACTTGGACGGAGTATGAGTATTTATGACTCGTATGGTCGCTTCAGTAAGATTTTGCCATATGTGTTTAACAACTTCTTCTGCTCTGTTGAATCTTAAGTTGAAATCTTAATGGGTTTGTAACTGTGCACAGTGTTAGATAATGTTCCAGTGGTCTGTTGTGGCTGTAACTGTGCACTGTGTTAGATAATGTTCCAGTGGTCTGTTGTGGCTGTAACTGTGCACTGTGTTAGATAATGTTCCAGTGGTCTGTTGTGGCTGTAACTGTGCACTGTGTTAGATAATGTTCCAGTGGTCTGTTGTGGCTGTAACTGTGCACTGTGTTAGATAATGTTCCAGTGGTCTGTTGTGGCTGTAACTGTGCACTGTGTTAGATAATGTTCCAGTGGTCTGTTGTGGCTGTAACTACACTGTTAGATAATGTTCCAGTGGTCATTTCTCCACAGTGCTGACATTTCCTCTCATCTTCCGAAACATGCAAGCCTATTTCCCATGCACATGGGTACCCAAGCCTGATGCGATAATGTCCAGGACGGACCAAAACGTCGTCTCTCCATCTTCTGATGTGTGGTTTGGTCATGATATCTTCAGCCCCGGTATTGTGACTCGTCGTCTGCTTATTACTTGGTCATGCATGACAATGTTGACACATTGTACTGTACGTGTATACCAGGCGGCATAATATACCAGAGAACTCAGTCACGAATATCTGCTTGAAATCATTAAACTATATTCCTGTGATAAACCTCTGCTTGACAGCGCCTCCCTCGCCTGCACCTTCGGGCAGGAGGGGCTGCAGCCCCCCACCTGAGGTACCTGGAGGACACTACCTGTGTGGCTTCTCGACGGGATCCCGCCGGGGCCCGCCCATCCCCAAGGACTCTCCAGTCATCTCCAGGGACACCTTACACGAGAGGGAGGAGGTTAGCGGGCAACCTGAAGGAGGCGTGTGTAGTGTGGTGTGTGAGCGGGGCCGCGTGGTGGGGGTGTCGGAGCGGGGCAGGAGCCAGCTCACCTGCACCCCTGGCGGACTGTGGGACCACCCGCCTCCCTCATGTCGCCCTCAGGTGGGTAGTTACACCCAACGACCTTCAAGTAAGTTTGTGGAGCCTTATCCTGACCCCTTCAGAGTGCTATGTAGTCGTAATGGCTCGGCGCTTTCCCCCTGATAGTTCCCTTCCCTACAAGTAAGTTTGAGATAAAATATGTGAGTCCCTGATGGGCACACATATCCGTATAGTACACAAATAATAATCATATTGTAAGTTCCAAATGCATTTACATTAATTCCATAGTCCTCATATATAGTACATGTGACAAGAATTTTAGTATCACACTTTTGGGGCAAAGTGTTTGAACCTAAAAAAAAATTGCTTTCTATCATATCACTAACACAAATCCAAACAATTTGATGTGGTGCACTACTGATTTCTTGATTTCTATAGTGATGAAGCAGTTTACGCAATAATACCCAGTGATGTAAGGTGTGGGCGTGCGGTACACTACATAGTTTACATGACTTATATCCTACACTGACACATCAGCTCCGTATTGCCAGTAATATATATATCCAGCTAATCTTAATCTCCTCTACACCGAGTCCTTCCTGTGAGACTTTCCACCGTCCATATGTGAAGGACGGCTTCATGCTTATTATTGCGTAATGCTTAAGTGTGTTACCATTACCGTCCTCGGGAGTGTTTCTATATCCTCTTGCAACAGCTTCATTCTTGTCTACATTTGTTTCAGAGTTATTTGATATATAACATTGACAAGTTTTTCTGTGGCTCTCTTCGCTATTTCATCAACTGCTACTGTAGATTCAATTGAGATTTACGTGTCAGTAGACACGGGCGTGTAGCTCCCTCTTGACACTGTCATGTACAAGATAAATCTAGTACACACAGGAAGTTGAAATTGAAATTGAAATAAGTTTATTGAGGTAAAATACACACAAAGGGATGAGGTAGCTCAAGCTATTCTCACCCCATTCAGTACATCGTGTTAATACATACATAGACACACATCACAAACAATAAACATATTACCAAACATTCTGAGAGATAAACATCACAGGAAGTGATCCAACACAATGTTAGGGGAAAGGGATGAGGTCAGGAGGGACACAAGTGACACATCAATCACTCATTACATCAATCAGCCACGCGGACACTATAATGTGACGAGGCTGTGTCATCATCATGAAGGCCTGTCGTACACTGAAGCTGTCCGTAGGTACCCTGGTTACAGTAAGAAAATCCAAGCACCAAGGAAGTGCTTCACGACCGGGAATCCGCTGACACAATAGTCTTCAATAAAAGTATCGGGTGAACAGAGAAAGTTACCAGCTAGTCACCATTACCTTCTATATATGCAAGACCAACGAAACAGTTTTTGGGAAGCGGTGTCGGAAAGCATTTCTTCATACTCAATAAATAACAAATTACACACTCATCATTTTGAAAATAATTCCTTTATTTCAGTGAGAAAAGTTAATATCTTTCTCGATGTTGTCCGGGAACTGGTGGGAAAGCTTTGTAAATCGCTTGTGTCTCGAACTAGAGTTCTATATTCAGCCTTCTAAACCACACTATAGAAGTAAATTGCAGCACAAAAAAGAATTCAGAACGGGATATGTGAAGTCGTGGGGGAGGCGTGACCTGGCACACCAGCACACGCTACACCTCACTCACAATTAATGTTAAACAAACGAAAACTTAGACCACTTTTTCAAGCTGCGTAATGAGTCACATGCGAGAAGCCACACATTAAACCTTGATAAATTACACTGAAGAATGTACAACCGGATTTACTTCTGCACGAGACTAAAGTGACCTCTGGAACAGTCGACTCAGAGGCCCTCGCCAAGGGCCCAGAGACACTTCAAGATGTTGCACGACCCAAGATCACATTCACTCCAAACATCTACCATCTACGGCCAACTCGTGCCCGTGCCACCTCTTCTGGTGGCCTAATCTTCAGCAATCAGTGGACTCAGCGAACACGGGAGACATCTCCCGTCACGCAGGGTGCAGTCGCACCTCCACAGATCTCCAGTATCAGCTCTTGATACTGGTAATGGCTCAAAAGGGCCACCACTTACGGGCTATTCATGCCCGTGCCACCTTTTGGGTGGCTTAATCTTCATTATCGACTCAGCCTAGCCGACGAAGTCAGCGAAGTGCTTGGGTTATCTATAGTCACAATTGGGAAAACTCCACAGATAAAGCAAGGTAACACTCGCAAGCCTCAAGCTTCCTGTCCCCGTCAAGTCCATGAGAGACCTTGATTCTCAAGGTCAAGTTCAACAATGTTTACTGAGAGAGCAAGTTGTACTTTTTTTTACAAAGATGTAGTCGCTTAGGGATTTACCAACCTCTTGCCACATGTCCTGAGTTGGTTTACAGTATCTTATATAGTTGACATTATTTACGTCATTGTATACAAGTAACTCACTCTACGTTGTCCTACACAGGCCAATCCTGCCAGGAAGATGAAAGAGGAAATGCCTTTGGGCAAATCACACATGCCAAAGGGCAAAACGTTTAAAAATAGTTTTCCTGCAATTTCTAGGTAGAAGAGCCACATGTCCAGTCAGTTGTAAAGCTGAATAAGAGTCTTGAAATTAATTTGCCAATAACTTTCACAACTTTGTACTTGGTGAACACGCAGGGCAGTAAGTTAGTGGCCTACCCGCACCCCTCACAAGCCACGCGGGGATGAAAACTTGTTTCTATATATCCGATAATCTAAGCGGCAATAATGCCTGCTGGCACTAGAAAGACTGAGGTCTTACTATGGATAAGAGTCAACTTGTGCCACATTCCTATCACCTGACACCTTTTGTGTAGTGTTGCTGAATGTATCACCCTCATCTATATTTGGTATGTCTTCCTCTCTATTTCCTACAACGTCTTGACATATATGTTCTGGCGTGCCGAGACGTTGTGGTCCTTTTGTGTGAATTTGCATTAACTGAGATTTTTTATTTATCTAAATTCAAATACATTGTATAAGTTTATACGAGTGAAATACTCGAAGATCTTAGTTAGGTTATGTAGCAAATGGATATAACTGAGCCCATGATAAACTTAACTTAAAACTTGCATACATTACGCTACAAAGACATCCACACAAGTTTGGTTAAACGAAAATACAATTAACGTGACGTTGGTAAGTGTGATTTGAATGACAGTAGCCTTACAGGAGCCTTACAGGAGCCTTACAGGAGCTTTACAGGAAATTTGAGTTTTGTTCATTAGAATTTTATTAACTGGCAGCTATATAGTCGTAATGGCTTAGTGTTTTCTCCTGATTACCTTACCTTCTCTCCCTCATTACCCTACCTTCTCTCCCTCATTACCCTACCTTCACTGGCAGCTCAAATTCATATTAAAATTTTATTCATAAATGTTTGTATTTTTAATATTGAGAATTATTTATTATATTTATTATTATTTATTATAATAACTTTCGATGAAAATGTTTATTATGTCGTATAATACTAAGATAGTTTACATTATATTATATAGATAAGAGCAAGGTATACTCAAGGTGGTATAGTGTGTGACTCTATGGCGGTGTGTCCACTCACAAGATGAGTGGCGCTGCCCAATAAACTCGCCCCTCGGGGCAAAATTAAAAAAAAAAAAAATTTAATCCAGGCAATGTGTACATGTGTTTTGTAGGTTGGTCCAGCGGTGGAGGCCGGCCAGTGTGAGGATGTGAGTGTGAGTCAGGCTCACTCACCGCTCTCACTCATGCCCCTGCCCATCTTCAGCACGGCCAGCCGCCTCCCTGCTCACGTGACGTGTGTCTTGGAGCGCACGGCCCCCGCTCGCTACACCAGGACGTGCACGGCCAGGGACCCGGAACTGGAGACCTCGACGGTGTGCAAGTACACTGTTACTGTCACCGGTAAGGACTTGCTTGTGTGGGTGTAGTGGAATGAGGATATATATATGCCGGTTTTTGTTAAATGTTTGTGAGGGTGCACGCACTAATGCAACACGCACACGCATGCACACACGCGCGCGCGCACACAGACACACACACAACTTTTTTAGTGTCAGAGTGGTTGGCAAATGGCATGCATTAGGAAGTGATGTGGTGGAGGCTGACTCAATACACAGTTTCAAGTGTAGATATGATAGAGCCCAATAGGCTCAGGAACCTGTACACCTGTTGATTGACGGTTGAGAGGCGGGACCAAAGAGCCAGAGCTCAACCCCCGCAAGCACAACTAGGTGAGTACACACACACACACACAAATACACACACCACACACCTGTAATGAGTCACTTATGTCGGGAGAATTTCCCAGTTGCTGGAAGAAGGCAAATGTCGTACCGATTTTCAAGAAAGGCGATACGGAGGAGGCACTTAACTATAGACCTGTATCACTGACAAGCATTCCCTGTAAAATACTTGAAAGAATAATTAGGTTACGACTGGTTGCACACCTGGAGAACGTTAGGTTTGTAAACAAACATGAACATGGTTCTGGAAAGGGAAATCGTGCCTAACAAACCTTTTGGAATTCTATGATAAAATAACGAGGATAAGATAGGACAGAAATGGTTGGGCAGATTGTGTATTTCTGGACAGCCAAAAAGCCTTTGATACAGTACCGCACATGAGACTGCTGTTCAAACTCGAGAGGCAGGCGGGAGTGGGAGGAAAGGCCCTAGCATGGATAAGGAACTACCTAACAGGAAGGAGCCAAAGAGTTACGGTAAAGGACGAGAAGTCGGACTGGCGAACAGTAACGAGTGGAGTACCTCAAGGATCGGTGCTGGGCCCAATTCTATTTCTAATATATGTTAACGACATGTTTACAGGAGTAGAGTCCTACATGTCAATGTTCGCAGATGACCCATAGTTGCTGAGAAGAGTTGTGACAGATGAGGATTGCAGGATCCTCCAAGAGGACCTGAACAGACTGCAGAGATGGTCAGAGAAATGGCTACTGGAGTTCAACACGACCAAATGTAAAGTTATGGAAATGGGACTAGGTGATAGGAGACCAATGGAACAGTACACAATGAAGGGGAACTGCCTACCTGTGACGACGCGAGAAAGAGACCTGGGCGTGGACGTAACACCTAATCTATCTCCTGAGGCATATATAAATAGGATAACGACAGCAGCGTACTCTACACTGGCAAAAGTTAGAGCATCATTCAGAAACCTAAGTGAGGAGGCATTTAGGGCGCTTTACACTGCCTACGTGAGGCCAGTCTTAGAGTATGCCACCCCATCATGGAGTCCTCACCTGAAGAAACACATAAGGAAACTGGAAAAGGTTCAGAAGTTTGCAACAAGACTCGTCCCAGAGTTACGAGGGATGGAGTATGAAGAGCGCCTGAAGGAACTGAGCCTTATGACACCAAAAAGAAGAAGGGAGAGGGGAGGATTTGATTGGAACGTATAAAATACTTAGGGGGATTGACGGAGTGGAAATAGACGAAATGTTCACACGGAATAGAGGGGACATGGATGGAAGCTGGAAACTCAGATGAGTCACAGGGATGTTAGGAAGTTTTCTTTTAGCGTGAGAGTAGTGGAAAAATGGAATGCACTTAAGGAGTAGGTTGTGGAAGCAAATTCTATTCATAATTTTAAAACTAGGTATGATAGGGAAATAGGACCGGAGTCATTGCTGTAAACAACCGATGGCTGGAAAGGTGGGATCCGATCCAAGAGTCAATGCTCGATCCTGCAGGCACAAATAGCTGAGTACAAACAGGTGAGTGTACACACCAGGAATAGGGGACAGGAGACCAAAGGGACGGTACACAATGAAGGGAAACTACCTACCCGTGACGACTCGAGAAAGAGACGTGGGAGTAGACGTAACACCTAATCTAATTCCAGAGGTACACATAAATAGGATAACGTCTGCAGTGTACTCTACGCTAGTTAAAGTTAGAACAGCCTTCAAGAACCTAAGTAAGGAGGCATTTAGGTGCAGGCGATGAGTCACAATAACGTGGCTGAAGTATGTTGACCAGACCACACACTAGAAATTGAAGGGACGACGACGTTTCGGTCCGTCCTGGACCATTCTCAAGTCGATTGTGACTTGAGAATCGACTTGAGAATGGTCCAGGACGGACCGAAACGTCGTCGTCCCTTCAATTTCTAGTGTGTGGTCTGGTCAACGAGGCATTTAGGTTTTACACTGCCTACATGATACCAGTCTAAGAGTATTCGGCCCTATCGTGGCGCCCCCACCCGAAGAAACACATATAAAACTGGAAAAGGTTCAAAAGGTTGCGACGTGGCTCGTCCCAGAATTGGGAAGGATGGAGTATGAAGAGCAACTGAAAGAAATGAACCTAACGATAGAGGTTATATAGAGGTAACCTCTATATAGAAGTTACCTGCTATATAGAGGTTACCTGCTAGGTACAGCTGAGTGGACAATTCAATTTCTTTCTTTATTATGCACCCCATACCCATCCCGTGAGCGGTGGTGTAAAGGATTACAGAGGCACATAATCGGTTCAGGAACTGAACGCTCTAGTTCGTTTAGCTAAGCAAATAACAATCTTTTGTTACAAAATAATTAATAATAATTACAAATAATTACAAAATTATTAATAATAATTAATAATAATTACAAAATTATTAATGGGCAGTGATCGGGATTCGTAGTCCTGAGGTTCCGGGTTCGATCCCCGCTGGAGGCGGTAACAAATGGACAGAGTTTCTTTCACCTTGATGTACCTGTTCACCAAGCAGTAAATAGGTACCTAGGAGTTAGACAGCTGCTACGGGCTGCTTCCTGGGGGTGTGTAACAAAAAGGAGGCCTGGTCGAGAATCAGGCCGCGGGGACGCTAAGCCCCGAAATCCTCTCAAGATAGATACTCAGTATCATGGATACCACAATCGACTTGAGAATGGTCCAGGACGGACCGAAACGTCGTCGTCCCTTCACCTTCTAGTGTGTGGTCTGGTCAACATACTTTACCCACGCTATTGTGACTCATCGCCTGCATCATGGATACCTCCTTGGTGCTCTACACAGAGGTTACCTCCAAGGTACTCTATATAGAGGTTACCTGCTGGGCTCTGCAAATTACAGGGGCTGGTGGAATAAATCTCTGAACAAATACAGTTATAGAAATTGGGTGGCAAACGTGTTTTTTTTTTTTTTAGTTTATATCCTACCACAGATGTTGCCATTTTTTTTATACAATGGTGGCCAGGTACTGGGATTGGCAGGTGTTTTTTCTACCACAGATGTGCACAATTATTTATACAATGCCAGTCAGCATATATAAACTTTTTCCACACCTGTTGGACAATATGCAGTGTACAGGAGTAGACTTTCTGCCTTCTGCACCAGGCTTTGCAATCTGCAAATGAATTTAGAAATAAGAGGAAAATATTAAAAACAAATTACATATACTTCTTTGATACACAGAATTTAATATTAATTCAATTCAGATATTGGTAGAATTTCGTAGTACAGATGCCTTCGATCTCGACTCACAATCGTCGATTCCGAGGTTTGATTCCAGGCCGGGATAGAAATAGTTTGGTTCGTCTCCTTTCACCCAATGCACCCGACCACACACTAGAAGGTGAAGGGACGACGACGTTTCGTCGACAATCGACTTGAGAATGGTCCAGGACGGATCGAAACGTCGTCGTCCCTTCACTTTCTAGTGTGTGGTCTGGTCAACATACTTTAGCCACGTTATTGTGACTCATCGCCTCCTAATGCACCTGTTCACCTGTCAGTAAATAGATACCTGGGAGCACTGGACCTTTCGTATACCTTCTTTCCTGAATATCAGTACAATGTTTGTAGTCTTCCAGGTCTTCACGAGAACGCCATTGTCCAATGATGCATTGTAGATTCTGGTTAGTGGATTGTACAGTGTCACTGCTACCTTTGTCAGTAACCATAGTAATATATAGCTTCGTTATGCTTCATTCTTTAAATATAATTGTATCTGGTGAATAGTTACCTCACTCTAAGTAATTACGAGCGTTCATTCCAGGTTCCCATTCTCGCTCAATCTTGACGGCTTGTGGGCTCTCCTGCTGAGTACCTCACGAAGCTCATCACTGTGAGGACATCCATGTCCTCACATCCACTTAGCCTCTTACTTCCTGTACTTTGGTTCCCTTATGCGGCTCTACAATACCTGCACTTGTAAACCATTCTTTCTCACTGTTGTAATTTCAGGTGAGACCCTTGCCCCTGTTGATGACATCTCCAGCACACAAGAGCACCCAGACCGACTCAAGGACCCGAGTGGGGGCAGTGGAGGCGCCGACCACGATGCGGGCGCCGCAGAGGACGAGGATGCCACCCATCTTCCCGCACCTGGCCCCAACGATGGCCCCAACGATGGCCCCAACGCCCACCACCCGCCACACAAAGCTCCCGCTGGAGAGGAGCTCACAGGACCAGCCAACACCAGCTCTCCCGAGGACAGAGAACACCGGTATGACTTTTATGATGGAGAGGATGATGATGATAATGATGATGGGGAATATGATGAGGGCGAGTTTGATTATTACTATGATGCGGGTGAAAACGGCTTTGAGGAAGAGCATCACGACCAGTTCAGAGCAGCGCTGCCACAGATAACAAATGATGCCAACACATTAGTGACCAGGCAAGAGAGTGGTGACAAGGCTCTTCACAGCAACACAATCAGTGCTGCACCAGACTCTAGTGACTCGCACGGGGAGAATTATTATAAAAGAAACAGAGAAGACTTGCATTTACAAATAGAGAATAATTATGGACACCACGATCGTACAGACGAAATCGCCAGTAGATCCTCTAACAACCATTTTCCCAACCTAAAGTCCATGCCCCAAACTTCAGATGAGTACCCATTCAACTTACCATCAATCTCCTATGAAAAAAATAGAAATGAAGTCAAACTTCACAGTCCAAGCTACTCAGGAGACAATACTGCAGAGCAACACAAGTGGAACCACAGGAAACAAAATAGTTATTTTAAATCCAGAGGCCAGACAACGAAATTACAAAGAGCAAATGGGATCACATCAACGTTCCCGTCAGAGAATGTTGTCATGCCGAGGGTCCAAGGGGGATCCGGAAAAAATATAGGGATTGTTAGGTCAAAAATCAATTCCGAAAGCAGCAATACTAATGTTGTCAATGGCGGAGGAGAGGGGCAGAAACAGGCTGAGCGAACACACTGGTCTCGTCCAAGAGGAAGTGGTACAACAGATTCTGGTGACAGAACGAAAACGGTTAAAGGAACGCAAAATAATCCGGACTTGCAGAGTAATGCTATGGGACGGAGCGAAGCAGTAGAACTAGCCGCCCGGCTGCCTCGCGTACACCACACAACACCCAAGCCAACAGTGTTGGAGAAGAGCAACACAAAAATGGAGGAACTGGAAGAAAACAACAGAGAAAGGAAAACTCTCGAGGAAGGTATGAATGCTGGAAGTCCGGAAGGAAGAAAGGGCCAGGCGGCAGTGATGGAGGCCGTAGTGACGATGGAGATACTGGTGAAGGACTGCAGCTTCGTGGAGCAGGTTACACAGGTGCTGGGAGAGGCGCTTCTCCTACAAAATACCTGTAAGGATCTCACATGCTACCAGCCACACACTTCCTGTACCCAAACGTGAGTTCCACTTTAAGTGGTTATCACAAGAGAAAGCCTAAGCCGATATGACTATATATATATAGCAGACTACAACATCTTAAGATAAATAATGAGGATTTCATGAACATGGGATTTAATGCAATTATATTTCTTCTGCAGCAGATCAAGAAATGAGGCCACTGTGAAGGTGGTGTGGGCGGTGGGGGGTCTGTACGAGGCTCTCAACCATTACCCATTCGACGACTACCACGTGCCTGAAGTGGAGACGGCTATAGCAGCTGTCCTGGTCAGTCAAGTCCTTCACCTGCACCTCTCTCCCTCTCCCTCTCCCTTTCCCTCTCCCTGTCCCTCTCTCTCTCTCTCTCTCTCTCTCTCTCTCTCTCTCTCTCTCTCTCTCTCTCTCTCTCTCTCTCCCCCTCTCTCTCTCTCTCTCTCTCTCTCTCTCTCTCTCTCTCTCTCTCTGTGCCGGTGCCTCCAAGCCCACCTCTGGTGATTGTGGAGGACCCTTCAGTTGCTGGTCAAGTGTCCTACAATATAGCAACCTGCCAGCCGGGGTGTTATAAGCGCAGTTAGACACATTGCCAACATGGGTGCCATAAGCACAGGTACAGAACACTGTCAACATGGGTGCCATAAGCACATAACATGGGTGCCATAACGCTCTGCCACCTAATATAAACGGAACCACTTTATAGTAAATATACTGTCTCTTAGTAGCTTACAAGCCTCCTGGTGCGTCTTTCTCGTAGTGTGATTAGTGGATTTTAATTGTTTAAATTACCTTCCCCTAATTTTGTCATATAACTTGTGCCAATATCTGTCTGATTGCTCTAGTGGTAAACTGCACTGTTTTGACCCCTCTCAGAATATAAGCTAAATATTATTCAGATTATGTAAAAAAATGTAAGTTTGGTTTAGACTGTTGTACACCTGTTTATCCTATCCCTTACCGTAATCATTTGTATAAGTTGTTACAAATAGTTTCTGAATCTGAATTTGAGCATCACCATAGCTGGAAGGCAGCCCACTCTAGCACCCCTGAACCTTCCTTCACAGGAGTCCACACACGGGTTGCTGAAGTCTGAGCAACTGGTCCGCTCGCTGGAGGCTGTGGGGGCCGCCCTCGACCTCTCCTCCTTCAACCTGACGAAGCTGGACTTGGTGTGTCGCCAACCTGGCCTCGGACTCCACCCTGTCACCGGCCGTTGTGGTAAGGTGGTCTTTATCTATGGTGCTGGTTGTGGCGGGAGGGAGGGAGGGAGGGAGTACATATGAAGGATACTTTCCAAAAGCAAATAAAGGAGAAGAGAGCGTAATTTGTATGACAAAAGCAGTTTTCTTCCAGGAACTCTGCTTTCTCCCTGGTAGTTACCTTGAGGTGCTTCCGGGGCTTAGCGTCCTCGCGGCCCGGTCGTCGACCAGGCCTACCGACCTGGTAGAGGGACACCTTATGAACACCGTTAACAATGTTAATTGGAATACTTTCATTTATATTGTTTCTCTTAACTGCGTGAACTCTGAACAATCTAGTGCTTTTCATCAGTTCTCACATGTTCAACCCTAGTGAGATTTAACAATTTTAACTATATATAATTCAGATAATGAATTATATCATAGCTGCATTTATGTTATTGTGAAAATTAGACACGACTTGATAATGGTTCAGGACGGACTGAAACATCGTCAATTCTTTGATTTTATTTTCAGGTTTGTGGGTTGGGTGACTAAATCGCAGATCTCCTCTTTTTAAGAGCGCAACAACCCAGCATGTTCACAGTAGAATACATTCTACAGAGTCCAAAACTGAATTCTATAATCTAAATGAAACCTAACAAGAGCACGATAAAGCTGAGAGAGAGAGAGAGAGAGAGAGAGAGAGAGAGAGAGAGAGAGAGAGAGAGAGAGAGAGAGAGAGAGAGAGAGAGAGAGAGAGAGAGAGAGAGAGAGAGATGAAGATAGGCTATACTTGCTGTTTTAAGTGACAGTTATGTATGATGGTGTTCATAGTTGAATGTTTCTAATACAGACATATACACATACTGTGATCGTACTGCAGTAGTGGCAGGGGCTGCGATGGTGCCACACCACACTTCCTGCACGCCCCACCTCCCTACCCCTGACCATCCCTGCCCAGCAGCACAACCACATCAGCAACATCACCCGGGCTCCTTCCTGCCTGGGTCAGGCACGCACTATTTGGAACCGATCCTTAAATGCTTGCCCGTAATGGTCCAACAGGTTGTAAACCTATACATAAACCATGTCCACAGAAAAATTAGTGGCATAAGGCTGAGGATGAGCTGCGGTGAGCAAGAGCTCTAAACTTACTAGCAAGAGTCATTACTAATGTGGCCTTGTATCCTGTTAATAACAAGACGCAAGAAGAGTTAGTGGTGGAGGGCGGGGGACGTCTGGAGGGACGAGACCCCCTGGTGAGCCACACTACACATCCTCCCTGATAACAGCTGCTGCTCTTCCAGGAAATATATTATGACAGCGCCTTAAACGACCAGTTCGCGTCATTTCCCTAGCTCTTGGTCCTTGCCTACAGGGTTCTCGATTCTAAATCTTACCGAAGCTTTAGCAACACACAGCTAAATATTTTTGACATGTTTATTTTCAAAATATTTAGCTGTGCATCTAGCGGGCAGTACCAAAAATGGTCGTGAGGGGACTGAATGTGACCCTGGTACACTGTTCTTACTTCATTTCTGGCGACCCCGACCAGAATGTTCATTGTGTACCCCCACCTTGTGGCACTTTGGATGAGGCTAGCTACAAGCGTCTGGCCTCCATTTTTGGACACATATAGAGACGGACATTCTTTATGTATATATATATATATATATATATATATATATATATATATATATATATATATATATATATATATATATGTATATGTCGTACCTAGTAGCCAGAACGCACTTCTCAGCCTACTATGCAAGGCCCGATTTGCCTAATAAGCCAAGTTTTCATGAATTAATTGTTTTTCGACTACCTAACCTACCTAACCTAACCTAACCTATCTTTTTCGGCTACCTAACCTAACCTAACCAATAAAGATAGGTTAGGTTAGGTTAGGTAGAGTTGGTTAGGTTCGGTCATATATCTACGTTAATTTTAACTCCAATAAAAAAAAATTGACCTCATTCATAATGAAATGGTTAGCTTTATCATTTCATAAGAAAAAAAATAGAGAAAATATATTAATTCAGGAAAACTTGGCTTATTAGGCAAATCGGGCCTTGCATAGTAGGCTGTGAAGTGCGTTCTGGCTACTAGGTACGACATATATATATATATATATATATATATATATATATATATATATATACACGAGAGCTTTAATGGTCCACAAGCCATAAATCACTAAGAATTCTATGATCCCACCAGGATTTACAGGCAGTCGGTAGAGTGGTATTGGTATTGTGTGTAGCCAGAGGTGCGATGAGCCATGTCAGCGTGGCTGAAAGGGCTACCAACGTTACCTTGGTTACCAACGATTTTTGTACAGTCTGTCATGGTCAAGTGGTTACTGTACTGGATATGCTATTGTGTTTGGAGCACCAGGCTATCTAAGGTTCGAATCCTTCACGAGGAAGAGTTCTTTGGTTACATATGACTTGTGCTTTATGCAAGTGTGTCGTGTGTGTGTGTATATATATATATATATATATATATATATATATATATATATATATATATATATATATATATATATATATATATATATATATATATATACTGACACGACTAATCCCACTGGTTACACACAATACCAGTGTACCGGTTGCCTATAAGTCAGGTGTTGTGTAACCACACAACAGGTCACACATGTGTGACCTGCAGCGTCACACATGTGTAACAACATGTGTGACGCTGCAGGTGTTCACTCTTCTCGTTTCAATCCAAACATTGTCATCGTGTTTTTTTTTTTATTTATTTATTTATTTTTTTTTCTACCACAGACGTGGCCACACATTCACAATGCTAACCAGCATATATACATTTTCTTCTGTCCTCCATGGACAGAGTTAGAGATGTGTTAAACATATAGTTCAAGGGTTTATTGAACACTCAACCACAGAAGGTGATTGGTTGCTTTTAAAATGCTGAGCTAACCTACATACGTAAATACATGGTGGTGTGGACGTCTATTTCTATTTACCTCAAGACCGTTGTTTTCTCGTCAGTGTTAGGAACAGGAAGCCGGCGGCTTATCAAACGTTCCCTCAATAGTCATGATGATTTTTTCAATCTGAATTTTGAACGTGTGTGTGTGTGTGTACTCACCTAGTTGTACTCACCTAGTTGTGCTTGCGGGGGTTGAGCTCTGGCTCTTTGGTCCCGCCTCTCAACTGTCAATCAACAGGTGTGTGTGTGTGTGTGTGTGTGTGTGTGTGTGTGTGTGTGTGTGTGTGTGTGTGTGTGTGTGTGTGTGTGTGTGTGTGTGTATGTGTGTGTATGTGTGTGTGTGTGTGTGTGTGTGTGTGTGTGTGTGTGTGTGTGTGTGTGTGTGTGTGTGTGTGTGTGTGTGTGTGTGTGTGTGTGAGTGTGCACTTATCTAGTGTGCTTGCGGGGGCTGAGCTTTGGCTCTTTGGTCCCGCCTTTCAACTGTCAATCAACTGGTGTACAGATTCCTGAGCCTACTGGGCTCTATCATATCTACATTTGAACCTGTATATGGAGTCAGCCTCCACCACATCACTGCCTAATGCATTCCATCTGTTAACTACTCTGACACTGAACAAATTCTTTCTAATGTGTCTGTGGCTCATTTGGGTACTAAGTTTCCACCTGTGTCTCCTTGTTTGTTCCACCTATGCTAAATAGTTTGTCTTTGTCCACCCTGTAAATTCTCCTGAGAATTTTGTAGGTGGTGATCATGTCTTCCCTTTCTCTTCTGTCTTTCAGGGACGTAAGGTTTAGCTCCCGTAGCCTTTCCTCGTAGCTCATACCTCTCAGTTCTGGGACTAGTCTGGTGGCATACCTCTGAATCTTCCCGAATTTTACCTTGTGTTTAACTAGGTATGGACTCCAGGTTGGAGCTGCATACTCCAGGATTGGTCTGACATAAGTGGTATACAAGGTACTGAACGCTTCCTTACAAAAGTTTTTAATGGCAGTTCTTATGTTGGCCAATCTAGCATATACCGCTGATGATATCCTTTTGATGTGGTCCTCTGGGGACAGGTTCGGTATGATGTCAACCCCCAGATCTTTCTCTCTATTTGACTCTTGCAAAATTTCACCTCCCTGATGGTACCTTGTGTTCAGCCTTCTGCTTCCTTCGCCTAATTCATTACTTTACACTTGCATGAGTTAAACTTTAGTAGCCATTTTCTAGACCATTCCTCCAGTTTGTCCAGGTCGTCCTGTAGTCTCTGTCTATCTTTATCTGCCTTGATTATTCTCATAATTTTTGCATCATCAGCAAACATCGAGAGGAATGAGTCTATACCCTCCGGAAGATCGTTTACATATATTAGAAACAGGATGGGTCCAAGTACAGAGCCTTGTGGGACCACGCTGGTGACATCTCGCCACTCTGACATCTCTCCACTCATAGTTACTCGCTGTTTCCTGTTGCTTAGATACTCCCTTAACTACCGGAGCATCTTATAATTAAATCAAATCAAATGTTTATTCAAGTAAAAGTACATACATAGGAGATGAGTTACAAACATAATGTAGGATTTATAGATAGAGCGAGTACATACAATACCTAAAGCCACTAATACGCACAGCGTTTCGGGCAAACCATTACCTTTTACTCTTCCTGTTTCTCCAACTTTTGTAACAGCCTTTTATGAGGAACTGTGCCAAAGGCTTTCTGACAGCCCCTGTGTGTGTGTGTGTGTGTGTGTGTGTGTGTGTGTGTGTGTGTGTGTGTGTGTGTGTGTGTGTGTGTGTGTGTGTGTGTGCACCTAACCTACAGATTCATCACAAGTAAGACTCTGGGTCATCACCAGACCACAGGAAACCTTATGAGACAATGTGACCTGTTTAAAGGAGGTCCTGCTACCTGCACAATCGACTTTAGAATGGTCCAGGACGGACCGAAACGTCGTCGTCCCTTCACTTTCTAGTGTGTGGATTGGTCAACAATGTGACCTGCCTATCAAGTTTTTTTGTTACAAATTCAGCCATCAATAAATAAGTTGAAGATTTAAAAAAAAATTGGCTACAGCAGAAATTAGACACGAAAAGCACATTTCAGAGGCAGAGTTCGAAGGATTACAAACTTTATTGCGTGATTTATACCCGAGGATGAGGTGAAGGTGACGAGGTGAAGATGAAGAGGTGAAGGTGACGAGGTGAAGGTGAAGAGGTGAAGGTGACGAGGTGAAGGTGAAGCACCTCACTTACAGGTCCATTTATCTAGTCAACCTCCTGTTTGTACGCTGGCTGGGGCAGTGTGTTGTATGTTCCGTCGTCTTCTGAAAGTTGGCAGAGCGTAATTTGGTGCTAGTTGGCTATTGATACATGGCTTGGTTTGTTTGATGTATAATGCATTATATCAAAAGCCAACTAGCACCAAACTACACTCTGCCACAGTGATAAACTTGGTGTAAAACAGGAAGGTCTGAGGCTAGCATGCACACAGTGCTCCTCGTATGTAGAGGTTACATGGGTAAATGTTGACTTGGCCTGGGGGCTGATGCCACTCTATTACCTCAACACTTTTCAGGAGTCTAGAGGAGAGTCTTCCTCTCCATTAGAAGTCGCCACCAGCAGGCGACTCGATCGTGGGCTTTTAATTACATTCCGCTAAGTATATATAATGTCCCTTAAACACTGTGTGAGTTAGAAGCAGAAGTGTTGACACTTCATGTCGTGACAGATTTTCATGTGTAATGATTTCTGATTTGTGCCTCAACTTGGCGATGTTGTCCTACTTAATCTCTCCTCTTTGGTTCCAAATCACTTTGCTGATGCGTGCCTCACTGCCTACAAAAGCCTGTCCTAGATATCAGGTATACTGTTCACCAAGGATTATAGATATATATATATATATATCCCTCCTTCCTTATACAAGGCACCAAATATTCCCTGCTGTGTATCACTAAGAGTTATGTCCCTCCCTGGTGAGCGCAAGTCATTACTGCTCCAGCGTGTGCTCCCAACAGTTGAGTGCGGCCCGGGGACGTACAGCAGGAAGGGGTCGTGTGCACCTTGCCGCCCGGGGACTTACATGGACCAGTCGGGTCGGTCGACCTGTGTACCCTGCAAGGCCGGGACCTCCGCCTCTCAGCCCGGGATGGTCACCTGCCTCCCCTCACGTGAGTACTCTATATGCCTTATACCTCCCCCCTGGTGTGACTACACCTTCCCCTGGTGTGTCTACACCTTCCCCTGGTGTGTCTACACCTCCCCCTGGTGTGACTACACCTCCCCCTGGTGTGTCTACACTTCCCCCTGGTGTGACTACACCTTCCCCTGGTGTGACTACACCTTCCCCTGGTGTGTCTACACCTCCCCCTGGTGTGACTACACCTCCCCCTGGTGTGTCTACACCTCCCCCTGGTGTGACTACACCTTCCCCTGGTGTGACTACACCTTCCCCTGGTGTGACTACACCTTCCCCTGGTGTGTCTACACCTCCCCCTGGTGTGACTACACCTTCCCCTGGTGTGGCTACACCTTCCCCTGGTGTGACTACACCTCCCCTTGGTGTGACTACACCTCCCCCTGGTGTGTGTGATCCTTTCCAACGAAGCAGTGGTCAATTGTTCCCAGAAACTGCTTCTCGAAAAGGCCCGCCCGCTCAGGTCAACATTGGTGCAAAGGGGTGCTGGTATAGTCAGAGGAATGGGGTGGTAGTGGGGGGAGGAGGTGCAATGTTGCAAGGGCTGGGGAGGGGAGGCAGGAGAGGGGGGGCAGGGCAGGGGACGCAGGAGCGGTGGAGGGGGGGGGGCAGGGCAGGGCAAGGGAGGGGAGGGGAAGCAGGGATAGGGAGAGTGGGCATGACTAAGAAGCCTCATTGTCAATCATATTCCTATTGGCACATGTATGTTAATTTTTAAAGTTGGGAAAAGAAAGTGATACTAGATATCCACTGAACAACGGATATCCGCTGAACAATGTAGATACTGGTATATCCGATTACGAAAAGTATAGCCAGGCATAATGGTTTTTGGTAGCCCTAATGCTCAATGGACAAACAATAATTTGAAAACATACAAGTTATGATGTCAAAATTAGTTTCCAGCATTATTAACGTTTATTGTAGACATATATATTAAGGGAGTCGAAGTTACTCTCATGAAAGAATTGAAACTTGTGCATATACTTTATCAGTCCCAGGGCTGAGGGAGAGACGCAGGGACAGGGTCAGGGACAGGGTGGTCAGGGACAGGGTGGTCAGGGACAGGGTGGTCAGGGACAGGGTGGTCAGGGACAGGGTGGTCAGGGACAATTCCAGAGACTAATAATTTCCCCACATTGCTCTAAGAACAAATGGATGAACATGGGATTAAAGATTAATTGCCGACACCAAAATCATTAAGGGTGATGAAGGTAACTTTAGAACATACTTTATCAAGCAGGAAAGACGTGCTCAAAGTAAAGTAAGGAAAGCGACAATAAGTATTGTGATGATAGCAGAGGAAACAAAATTTTGAAAAAACTGCCCGCAACGCTTTGCGTAATAGTGGCTTTAGGCATTGTATGTACCAGCTTTATCTATAAACCTAGCAATTTTTGTAAAAATCTCTTGTATGTATGTACCTTACCTGAATAAACATTTATTTATTTATTTATTTATAAAAAACGAAATAACGGGTTCCTTCTGATGTATCAGACTTCCGTGAGAGAGAAGACTTGGCCGTGTAAAATAGATTGACAGAAAATGAGGAAGAAAAGCGCGTTTTTGTTTTTTTTAATATTTTCTATAAGTCTTTACTTGAGGGAGAACTCGTCAATATGTCAGCAGTTAATCACATTTATATATTAAAGATAACAACTTAATTGAAACTTTGGAAGACGTTAGTAAACATATTTAAAAACAATAATAATGCCAAACAAGTCCCCGAACTCCGTCGGAGTATTTTCTGAGGCATTAAAAGAATGTAAAGCGAAGCTTAGTAAGCTCTTGTCATGTTAAATAAATATATAGGATACAAATCTACCAGAATTGTGAAAGGTTACGAATGCTGTCCAGATTGCAACAATGTAAAAAAAAGGTCTGCATCATGGCATCAAATTTTGAACAATGAAGTTAAAGTAATTTCACCACAACTGATACTTAAGTGATAATCGTAGATATTGCTACCATGGACAAATTTGACTTAAATTTTCGAATAAAACAGTTTTAGACAAGGACAATCATATCTCACAAATTTTATGTGTTTCTTCAGGTGGGGACTCCATGATGGCGCGGCATACTCTAAGACTGGTCTCACGTAGGCAGTGTAAAGCGCCCTAAATGCCTCCTTATCTTGAGGTTTTCTTGAGATGATTTCGGGGCTTTAGTGTCCCCGCGGCCCGGTCCTCGACCAGGCCTCCACCCCCAGGAAGTAGCCCGTGACAGCTGACTAACACCCAGGTACCTATTTTACTGCTAGGTAACAGGGGCATAGGGTGAAAGAAACTCTGCCCATTGTTTCTAGCCGGCGCCCGGGATCGAACCCGGGACCACAGGAGCAGAAGTCCAGTGTGCTGTCCGCTCGGCCGACCGGCTCCCGGGACCTTACTTAGGTTTTTGAATGATGTTCTAACTTTCGCTAGTGTAGAGTACGCTGCTGTCGATATCCTATTTATATGTGCCTCAGGAGTTATATTAGGTGTTACGTCCACGTCCAGGTCTCTTTCTCGAGTCGTCACAGGTAGGCTGTTCCCCTTCATTGTGTACTGTCCCTTTGGTCGCCTATCTTCTGATCCCATTTCCATAACTTTACATTTACTCGTGTTGAATTCTAGTAGCCATTTCTCTGACCATCTCTGCAACCTGTCCAGGTCCTCTTGGAGGATCCTACAATCCTCATCTGTCACAACTCTTATTAATTTTGCGTCATCTGCGAACATTGACATGTTGGACTCTACTCCTGTAAACATATTATTTGCGTAACTTAGAAATAGGATTTGCCCCAGCACCGATCCTTGAGGTACTCCACTCGTTACTGTTCGCCAGTCCGACTTCTCGCCCCTTACCATTACTCTCTGGCTCCCCCTTACCATTACTCTCTGGCTCCTTCCTGTTAGGTAGTTCCTTACCCATGCTAGGGGCCTTTCTGCTTACCGTGTATGTGAGTGTGAGTGTGTGTGTGTGTGTGTGTGTGTGTGTGTGTGTGTGTGTGTGTGTGTGTGTGTGTGTGTGTGTGTGTGTGTGTGTGTGTGTGTGTGTGTGTATGTGTGTGTGTGTGTGTGCGTGCGTGTGTGAGTGTGTGTGTGTGGTGTGCGTGTTAGTAAGTTGATATGTTGTTGTGTTGTGATGTTGGGAAGATGTCATAAGTTTTTATTATTTTTTAATTTAGAAGGTCACAGTCTGCAGGGAGCTGTAAGACTCGCTGCCTGGCTCTGTGAGAGCTCTCTTGTTCTGTGAGAGCTCTCTTGTTCTGTGAGAGCTCTCTTGCTCTGTGAGAGCTCTCTTGATCTGTGAGAGCTTTCTTAAATGCTCTGTGAGAGCTCTCTTGTTCTGTGAGAGCTTTCTTAAATGCTCTGTGAGAGCTCTCTTGCTCTGTGAGAGCTCTCTTGTTCTGTGAGAGCTTTCTTAAATGCTCTGTGAGAGCTCTCTTGCTCTGTGAGAGCTTTCTTGCTCTGTGAGAGCTTTCTTAAATGCCCTGTGAGAGCTCTCTTGTTCTGTGAGAGCTTTCTTAAATGCTCTGTGAGAGCTTTCTTAAATGCTCTGTGAGAGCTCTCTTGTTCTGTGAGAGCTTTCTTAAATGCTCTGTGAGAGCTCTCTTGTTCTGTGAGAGCTTTCTTAAATGCTCTGTGAGAGCTCTCTTGCTCTGTGAGAGCTCTCTTGTTCTGTGAGAGCTTTCTTAAATGCTCTGTGAGAGCTCTCTTGCTCTGTGAGAGCTCTCTTGTTCTGTGAGAGCTTTCTTAAATGCTCTGTGAGAGCTCTCTTGTTCTGTGAGAGCTTTCTTAAATGCTCTGTGAGAGCTCTCTTGCTCTGTGAGAGCTCTCTGCTCACTCCTCGATAAAAATTACGCCTTCATTAATTTTATTTTATCAGGGGAGATGGTGTGGCCAGCGAGGGTGTGGCCAGCGAGGTTGTGGCGGAGATGGTGTGGCCAGCGAGGGTGTGGCCAGCGAGGTTGTGGCGAAGATGGTGTGGCCAGCGAGGGTGTGGCCAGCGAGGGTGTGGCGGAGATGGTGTGGCCAGCGAGGGTGTGGCCAGCGAGGGTGTGGCGAAGATGGTGTGGCCAGCGAGGGTGTGGCCAGCGAGGGTGTGGCGGAGATGGTGTGGCCAGCGAGGGTGTGGCCAGCGAGGGTGTGGCGGAGATGGTGTGGCCAGCGAGGGTGTGGCCAGCGAGGGTGTGGCGGAGATGGTGTGGCCAGCGAGGGTGTGGCCAGCGAGGGTGTGGCGGAGATGGTGTGGCCAGCGAGGGTGTGGCCAGCGAGGGTGTGGCGGAGATGGTGTGGCCAGCGAGGGTGTGGCCAGCGAGGGTGTGGCGGAGATGGTGTGGCCAGCGAGGGTGTGGCCAGCGAGGTTGTGGCGAAGATGGTGTGGCCAGCGAGGGTGTGGCCAGCGAGGGTGTGGCGGAGATGGTGTGGCCAGCGAGGGTGTGGCCAGCGAGGTTGTGGCGAAGATGGTGTGGCCAGCGAGGGTGTGGCCAGCGAGGGTGTGGCGAAGATGGTGTGGCCAGCGAGGGTGTGGCCAGCGAGGGTGTGGCCAGCGAGGGTGTGGCCAGCGAGGGTGTGGCGAAGATGGTGTGGCCAGCGAGGGTGTGGCCAGCGAGGGTGTGGCCAGCGAGGGTGTGGCCAGCGAGGGTGTGGCCAGCGAGGGTGTGGCGAAGATGGTGTGGCCAGCGAGGGTGTGGCCAGCGAGGGTGTGGCCAGCGAGGGTGTGGCGGAGATGGTGTGGCCAGCGAGGGTGTGGCCAGCGAGGGTGTGGCCAGCGAGGGTGTGGCCAGCGAGGGTGTGGCGAAGATGGTGTGGCCAGCGAGGGTGTGGCCAGCGAGGGTGTGGCCAGCGAGGGTGTGGCGAAGATGGTGTGGCCAGCGAGGTTGTGGCGAAGATGGTGTGGCCAGCGAGGGTGTGGCCAGCGAGGGTGTGGCCAGCGAGGGTGTGGCCAGCGAGGGTGTGGCCAGCGAGGGTGTGGCCAGCGAGGGTGTGGCCA